ACATAGGAACCAAAGGAGAACCTAGCGAACATACGGGATCTAGTGGAGGAATTTTTGCAAGATAAAACTCTATGTACTTATGCAAAATTCAATTAAAGAATCTATTTTAAAAAATTGAGCAATGGCGTATGTTGGGACCTGAAGGCACGCTGAAGGTAAGCTAATTAGCATGGGTTAACTAGGTTAACCAGGCGTAGGGAACTACACCCGACTCCCTGCGAGGATATCAAACCCGTAAACGTACTCTATAGAGGTTGGGTTCAAGTCCCAACCCTCTAGTAAAGCAAGGTTGGGTTCAAGTCCTAACCCCATACTAAGGCGAGGTGAGGGGAGGGGTATAAGGACACTTATATTCCGTTGTCATGGGCTTTTGGTCAGGGAGGCTAACTTAGGCACACCGCTAAGTGGGGGATGCCCCCGAAGACATGGTCAACAAGTTGTAGGATTAATAATAGGCGTTTGATGTGGGTATCGAACTTCTTCTATGGGTGGTGGAGTTGTAAGGAACCAACTCCCCGAGGTGTTGAAGGCTAAAAAATCCCCGAGTGCATAACCGAAATGATAAAGAATTCATTGGATGAGATTGAGTCTAAGATCGAGTCCAAGACTAACTCTAAGACTGAGTTTGAGACCGAGTTCGAGATCGAGTCCAAGACCAAATTCAAGACTGAGTTTGAGATCGAGTCCAAGATTGAGTTCAAGACCATGTTTGAGACTGAGTTCAAGACCGAGTCCAAAATCTGAGAATGGGTCCGAGACTAAGTTCGAGATCAAGTCCGAGATGGAGTCTGAGGTCGGGTCCAAGATGGAGTTTGAGATGGAGTCCAAGACTGAGTCCGAAGTTGAGTACGAGATCAAGTCCAAGACTGAGTCCGAGTCCAAGATCAAGTTTGAGACAAAGTTCAAATACTAATATAGGTCATGGGGTGAAAGCCCAAAGCATGTCTCCTAAGGGGGGGGCTACTGGGGGTTCCAAAAGTATAGTAGGGATAATGAGGTCCAGGAACCAATCTTGAAGGAACTCTTCAAATGTGCTTCCAAATTGACTTGAGGTTGAGATTGAGGCCGAGGGGCCTTGGGTGGGAGTGAGCATGGACTTGGGTGGTGCCGGAGGGGCCACCCAAGGAAGTGCTCAAGAGCAGCTCTCACTCCTGGAAGGGAAACCGACTGCAATGCTCCCGACTCATGTAGAATGGTGCCCCACTTAAATACCTTGCAGCTCATTACTCGTCACCCTTCCTAGGGGCTTGGGCCTTCCCTTTGGGATGGAAGGGGGGGGGTAGAGGTACTCATATTGGGCCGTTAGGCCATAGTGTTTCCCATGGTGTTTCAAGGGGTTCACTTGGCACTAGTTCATCCAGTATCTACTTTCCAAGCTTGTTTTTATAATAAGAGGTCTTCTATTCTTTTTTCTGTATTGGTTGATATAGGCTTGAGTTTATCTTCTATTGCTTGGCTTGTTGCCACATATTACCATCTATATTTACATTGTGTAGCAGTGCCAATTTTCATTCTTTATGGCAACAGCTGTACATATGTATGATGAGGCGGGCCTGGTTGTGTGGATAGGTAGTCTCAAGTTTGAGTTGCAATCATTATGGGTAGTGATAAGTCAAGCTTTCGACCTCATCTGTGGTATGGATTGGTTGTGGCGCAATTATACCAAGTGTGAGTTTGAGGCTTTTCCCCTTTATTTCATATTTCTTTATATCTCTTCCATTCCTCTCACTTCTGTTTTTTTTTTATCCTTTTACTTTTACCTTTACTTCCATCACTTTTATCTCTCCATTACTTTTTTATATGTTTCCATTTTGTTCCTCTTTTCTCTTTTCTGATCCCTTCAATGGTTTTTATATTGTAACGGTTGACTAGTTCATGAAGGAGTATGCCGATCTCTTTGAATTTGACATCGTTTGGGGCTAAAATTCCAATACGTCATCTTATTTCAATTGGGGATACTCGTCTAATCAAAGTTTTTGTTCGTCATCAGTCACCCAAAAAGATCAAAATTTTATATGCAAATATTAAGGAGATGTTGGAAAAGGGTGTTATTTGAAAGTTGCAAAGTTCTTATGCTTATGAACTTCATCTTGTGATGAAGCTTAATAGGAGTTTTTATTTCTATATTGATTATCATCTATTAAACGAAGTGACAATCCCAGATATGTACTCTTTTCCTCATACTGTTGATCTTTTTGATCGTCTAAGGAAAAGTCATTGGTTCACTAAGTTAAATCTTACTTTTGGTTATTGGCAAGTACTGATGGCCGAAGACGATATTCCTAAGATTGTTTTTTGTACATTGTTTGGTTTGTATAAGTTCTTGGTGATGCCGTTTCATTTGATAAATGCTTTAGCAACTTTCTAACAAATGATGGATAAAGTTCTCTGTGATATACCAGAGATGATTTTTACTTTATCAAAGATGTCTTAATCCACTCAAAGGGCACATGGGAGGAATACGTCCATGATGTTCCTAAGGTGTTGAATCAACTTCGGGAAGTTGGTTTAAAGGTAAAGCAGTCAAAGTGTGTGTTTGGATCTAAAGATATGACTTATCTTGGATACCATATTTATCAAAGGTTTGCAAGTTGATGCTGAAAAACTTGTTGCTATTCTAAAGTTTCTTACACTGAAGTGTGTGAATGATGTGTAGCACTTCTTGGGCAAAGTGCAATATCTTGGTCATTTTGTTGATCATTTTTCTGATTGCAGTGCACTGTTACAAGTGTTGTTGAAGTCATTAACATTATCTTTCATTTGGTCTGCAGACTGCGAGCGGATATTTGTGGATCTCAAAGAGATATTGACAACTCTTTCAATTTTAATATATCCTAATTACACTTGACCTTTCATTTTGCATATGAATATTTCTGATATTGATCTTGGAGGTGTATTAATGCAAGAGAGCCCGAGTGTGCTTAGTTAGCACCATTCTATTGCATATATTAATCATACATTATAACTAGCAGAGGTGAACTACTCCACTACAAAGAAGGAGTGTTTAGTAGCAGTTTAGGATTTTGAAAAATTTCATGCATATCTACATGGTTCTCAAACGTTACTAAAAGGTGATCATACTATAGTTACTTCATTATTGAAGCAGAAAAACTTGGTTAGTCATATTACTCAATGGGTTTTGAAGCTTTAAATATATGATTTTGATGTTATTCATCAGTTAGGGAGTCCTATAGTTAATGCTGATGCCCTTTCTCGAGCTCCTCTTCCTTTTTCACTCTTTTATCATATTTCTAATGAGTTTGTTACTCCTGCATATATGAATTTTTTAAATAAAGATTCCATGCCATCAATGGTTGCTATATTTGATGTTTAGTGTCCACAAGGTGTAGAACAAGATTTACATTCTTTTGATGAAGTTCACGAGGCCTAAAAGATTGAGTTATAGATTGAAGGCTTTGCAATAGATTTGAGAATCCTGCATCACTTGTTGACTATTTGCCCTCTTGGCATTTACATTCTCAATATTGCCTTGAGAATGGTCTTTTTTATTTTGTGGGGATGGATTTTGATGATCATTTACGGCTAATGGTGTCTTCGATCTTTATTCTATGCTTTCTCCATGACTACCATAATTCTTCTATTTTAAGTGGGTATATGGAACATTGTTGTATGACTAAGAAGTTGTATAGGTTTTTTATTGGCTAGAGATGCGATGTGATATTATCCAATATGTGTATAGCTGTGTTTGGTACTAAGCTCATAATACTCCCTCTCATATTACGAAAAGATGGTTGGAGTTAATTACAATTTCCCATCCGTTTGAGTTTGTTTATTATTGGTAATGAATATATCAATATTGTTTCTGACTACTTGACTCATTGGGTGGAAGTTAACATTCTTACTAGTGCATTTGCCACTGCTATTAGTTAGTTCCTCCTTAATTGAGTGATGTTCCAACATTCCTATTTAAAATGGATTCTTTTGGATAATTATCCCATATTTATGGCTGAGGCTTTTCACGTTTTGATGTTTTAATTGGGGATGTACCACACTTTCACAAGTGTTTATTATCCACAGTTAGATGGTTTGGTGGAATAGCTCATTCGGACCTTCAAATGGATGATTGCAAAGTATGAACTTTTAACATTTAAATTGAGATGATTATTTGTTATCTCTTTAGTATGCATATGTCATAGGGGTGTAAAGTTCTATTATTATACATGATTCAATGCTATTGATAGAATTGAGTTTACCTTTGTGATTGCCATAAGTTTCTAATGTTGGGTTTTGGGATTAGTTTTTGACAAGCATCCTTCCACTTGTCTGAGCAGAATTTGCTGAACACCTAGGCCACATACAAGTGGGACAACAATGGCATTATAACCCCTATCATTGTTCATTTGTAAAGTACAAAATGGATAGTTTATTTTCCCAATTTTAAGGTATATGGTTTATTTAAAGGGCCTATTATTCAATAAAAAGGACTATATTAAGTGTTACAATAAATTGGACCACAAGTTTATAAGATTTGGCATAACATCCAATATGCTAATCCTCTAGAAATTATATATATGCAATAACTAAAACACTTCATACAAAAGGATTAGAAACAACTAACACCACTTACAGATTCACCTATACCTCCTCCTAATGTTCCTCTTATCCATAAAAGAATGGTATTCTATCATTTTGGAGGGGATGTTATGAGGTTCAAATGTATGGCTACAATGGTTTTTGGGTTAATTAAGCACATTTTCTATATTCCCTTACCATATTCCATGCACTCACATTAATTGAATATACAATGTTAGAAATAGAGAAAAAGTTTTGGGATCTTGATGGGGAAGGATTCCTAGGGAGGAAGTGGACGATTTTCGGACTGCTGTCCATTGCATCAGACGGAGATCGGGCACTAATTGACATGGTAGGGGACAAGCTGTCGTTCCAGGCCTTGGCTAATACCACTGGCTTATTACTCATTCCATATGTCACCACCTTTGTCTCTTGCTGCTTCTGTGACCCAATGCAATTTGTGGGGCTCCCCACTCAGCTGCCCTGTGCCAGCCCTGCCCATCACTCACCCCACTGCTATTTACTTTGGCCTCAAGCACTACAATGGTGGAATGGTGGAGGGTGTGAGTAGAGAGCAAAGAAATTTAAAGAGTGTATATGTATTTCCCCTGCCTAGGCTATGTGCCTGCCTTGAGAGGCAAAGAGCGAACTCCTCCTTAACTTCATAACTCCTAATACTTTGGTTTTTATATAGTCTACCTTGGAGATAGATGATGCTAGGAACAACACGGCTCCCATCGGGGCTCTCCCAGTCTCCCACGCCTTCTTCCTGCGGAGCCCAGCTCCTGCGATCAGTGTCGAATGTAGGAAGCCTCAGCAAGATGCTCGAGAGAGGGCAGCAGCTCCCGGAAGCTTATCGCTGGAGCTCGAGCGAGACGGCAGCAGCGGAGGATGATCCGGCGGAGCTGGAGGACGAGGTGGTGGTGCCTGTGATCAACCTGGCGGAGCTGGATCGATCCGATGAGAGGCGCAAGGAGATATGCGAGGAGATGAGATCCGCCTGCCGCGAGTGGGGAGCGTTCCAGGTGGTGAATCACGGCGTGCCTGACCAAGTTGTGGAGCGAGCGCGGAGGACGAGCCTCGACTTGTTTGCTCTCCCCGAGTCGGACAAGCTCCGGGCCGAGAGACCACCCGGGACTCTCTTCGGCTACGGCGCCACCAGAATGGCCTCCTTCTTCAACCGGCTAATGTGGTCCGAGGCCTTCACCATGATGGGCTCTCCGCACAACAATTTCGAGGCATACGCCCGCAAGCTCTGCGTCCACAGCGAGCAAGATTTCTGGTAAGAACAAGGAAGTTAACAAAGAACAGACTTCCATTCTGCTCTTACCTTTCGCATACCAACAAACGACGTTGTCTTTTTCATGCTCTCACGGTTTTTGTCTCTGTCCTTGGCAGCAAGTCGTTTGAAGAGTACGATAAGGCGATGCGCGGCCTGGCCCTGCTCATCACCGACCTCATCCTCCACGGCCTGGAAGCAAGCGAGGAGCGAATTCACCAACATATCCGGAACTTCTGGGGGATGATCCACATGAACTTCTATCCCCCCTGTCCCAGCCCCTCGGAAGCAATGGGTCTCGCGTCCCACACCGATTCCAGCTGCCTCACCATCATGCACCAAGGCAGCGTCGGAGGCTTGCAAGTGAAAAGAGGTGACAAGTGGATCGCCATCAAGCCTGTTCCCGGTGCCTTTGTCATCCAAGTCGGTGACATGCTTCAGGTATCCTGGAATCTCATCCAGTTTTTCCAGCCTCTGACAGTGCTTTGCCTTGCCTTGCCTTTCTACAGTTGATGAGCAACAACGTCTTCCATAGTGCCTTGCACAGAGCTCTCGTTAACGAACGCTTCGAACGTCTCTCGCTGGTTTACTTCTTCACCCCGCCTCCCACGGTTTCCATTTGCCCCATCCATCCCAGCAAACCTCTCTACCGCTGCCTCACTTGGAACGAGTATCTACAAGTAAAAGCCAAGCTTTTCATGGGAGCGCTGGATCACTTCCTGTTACCTGAATAAAGAAAACACACAAGTGTCTCTCATGAGCTCCGTAGACAGTAAAGAAACGACGGCAGCTCACCGGTTGGTTAAAATTTTGATACCCACAATACCAACAAAAAGCACATGTGTACAGATCTCAACTTATGCTCTCTCTTCTCTGGCACGGGCACACATGTTAAAAAAAGGAATCAACGTGCAGTGTCAAATCCCGAAAAAGAAATGAGAAGAAAGGGAGAAAAAGAAAATGATCACACCTTTTCAACCAGCCTTCCCTCCAAATCTCTGATGCGAGACTCTAAAAGAGCATTTGCAGCGAGGGCAATATCTAGTTTCGTTGCCAGTTCACTCGATGTTCTTGCTGCCTGCATGTTAGAGGCGATGAGAATAACAGGAAACAAAAAAGAAAAAGAAAAATACCTCATCTCGCTCCCCACTGATGACTTGCACCATGGAATTTAAAATCTCCTGTGTCACGAGGAACACGTCAAAAGGCAACACTGGCAAGTATCCAGTACGGAACCTTTTCTTTCTGTAGCGCCTTTGATGCGTCAGACTTTTCTTTGGCAAGCTCAAGAGCGAGTTCTGTTGCTTGTGCTTCTGCAAGGTTGCACATTCGCCAAACCTGAACGTCACGATCAGCTACAAACGAGCGCAACAAACTTTTGTAGTTTCTCACCCGGTCCTGTTCTTGTATTGCTTCACGTAGCCTTTCGTCCGTCTTCTCTTGCTTTTGTATCGCCTCCGTAGCTTCCTTCTTACATTTTTCTGCTGCCTCTTGCAGCTTCAAAAACTGCAAGTAACGACGATAACATTCTCAAGCCGTTTGCAAAAAGAACAAACAATACCTGCTCTTCGGCTACTAGTACTTGAGCTCTTGCTGACTCATTCTCAGCTTTCATGGCAGCCATAGCTTCATCAAGCTTAGCCTTTTCTTCTAAAGTGTCTTGCAATTCAAGCTTTAGCGTCTGGCTGTAGTTTTCAAGTTGAGCAACATGCTCCTCGCCTTTGTCCTTGTGCTCGTATTCCTCGAGTTTGGCTGCACAACTTCCAACTCGCGTTAGGATCATTCCTTTGGCATAATCAATTAGTGAAAACACACGAACCTTTACAGAGATCGAGTTCCATCTTAAACCTCACAACGTCTGGATGATGCTCTACTTGTTTGCGTAACTGTTCAATCTCTTCTTTCATTTCGGAAGTTCCATCGTCACCATCAGTAGCTGGACGGCCACCCTCAACTCTTTTGATAGCACATTCACGCAACCTCGTTATCATTTTTTGCGACTGCAAACATTTGTTAATGCTATGCAAATTATAGAGCGTTCACCCTTACCTGTAAAGCTGTTTCCAGTCGCTCACAAACCGCTTGTGCAGCCTCGTACTTCGTGGCGAGTTCGTGCAGCTCTAGAGCTGATTTCCTTTCAGCGGCTAGAGACTGCTTTGTAGATTCAGATAATATATGTTCCAAGCGGCTGATTCGCTCGCTTTCTAAAAATCAAACAAAATTATCAATACCAATAAAGAATGAGATGAAAAACAAGGGGATACCTGGGAGTGCCTCTGCCGCCACAGTTGGTATCGAAATCAGCGATGGAGCTCCAATATTTGCTGAACACATTTTACTCAAGCTATATCAGAAACAATGCTATACAAGACACAATATAGCTCTACCTCGCAGTGTTGCAATCTCGAGTCTAAGTCTCTTTATTTCCTCGCCCATAATAGCTGGATTACCAAGCATGTCCTCGTTAACAACGGCAGCGTTTCTCATCAACTTCGCTCTTTGAGCAAATTTAAGAGTGGAAAGCGTTTCCTCCCCATTCTTATCGGCTGGACTCACATTCGCTATTAGCGTACACTTCGAATTTCCACCCAAAGCGTCCTGGTCCGCACACGAGTAAAATTCCTAATTCAAACGACTGAACACAAACCTTCAGCAGGAATGTTAGCTTCGAGTCTCGGTAAGGAACGTGCCTTACTTTGCCTTCTGATATGTCCACAAGCGCCTGCAAACAATTGAAACCACTTTTACGTTTTGCTAAACATCTGCTGCTTATGTTTGCTTACCTTTATAACGTTTCCAAGTGCGGACAACGATTTATTTATACTCCCAGCTTCTTTGAGTCGAATCCCAATAGTCTCGCTGTACTTCTGACGCTCAGATCCTGCTAAGTCAACAAGATAAAATCTCGATGTCTTTCTGTTCATCACTCCACCAACAACACGCTACCACAAAGAACACAATGAGCATAAGAGAAACCAAGCTAGCAGTTTAAAGCGTACCTGAGACTCGACCACTAAAGTAAACACGCTATGTGACCTACTGCTTTCAATGTTCATAGCAGTCATCCCGACGTGCCGGTTTTGAGATCCACGCCGAAAAACTCCATAAGTAGCTTCTGCAGATGGCACGACCACTTCCTGGAGACCATCCACATACATTCCATTCTTTGTATCCTCGCGGATATCTGAAAGGCTTTAAGGAACAGCAAGCAAATGCAAGACAACAAAAAGGATACTTAAATGAGCGGAGTCGGGATCTAGAAGATCTTGCACTTGCTCGTTATATATCTGCACGAAAGCTGAATAAGGAATGGTGGTGAAGCAGTTTACTAACCTGAAGATACGAGCACTTGATGCCATATTCAACATCCTTCTGCCGCTGAAGAAAAAACAGCACAAGAGTGAAAAAAAAAAAACTGGTTGCCAATGGAATATACAACCTCCTTTTTCTCCTCTCCCATTCTCTGGAACATGTAGTCCAAAATGCGAGGAATCAGGCCACGCATTTCATACGCTTGGGCCTGATCCTCCGTGACACTGAGACCTGCCCTTGAGCGATGGAAGTTCGGGTGAGAAATCCACTAGCCAAAAACAAAGCAAAAGAAAAGTTCAAAGCTACCTTCCATTGTGAAGGTCTTTCCAGCACCAGTTTGTCCTGAAAAACCATTGCATGTCAAAGCTATACATGAATCCGAGACTTTTAGAGTAAACTCCTACCGTAAGCAATGAGACAGCAATGGTATCCTTGCAAGCAAGCATCCGTGATGGGCTTCCCCACTCTTTGGAACATGTCTTCCTGTAGAAGGGATTTACAGTATGAGCTGAATCACTTGAGAAAAATCAATCAAAAACCTGGCCAACGTCCTCATCGGCAACATAATCAAACTTGAAGGATCTGGCAAATGGCGTGACACTGAGAGTGAGCGTCTGAGCTGCGGCATCGACGGCAGCAGCCTTCTTGTAGCCCTGCTCGTGCTCCCGCTGATTCGGCGGCCTCACCCGGACAATCACCTGGACATTGGAATTCGTGGGCTGATCCGCGGCGGAGAAGGCATCGCCATCGCCATCGATCTCGATGCCGCCGTTGGAGGCCGGCATTGCCCCTGCCCTCCTCACCTCAAGAACCCTAGCCTAGCAGCGCTACTACACGAAAACGTAGAAGGCGCGAATGAGCGCATTTTAGGTCAGCCGATTCATTTGCCGCGCTTTTTCTAAAGTTCGATCGAATTGGACGGCTGGGATTCGATGGCAGAAGCGCGATTCGAACTCTACGTTCTTGAGTGAGAAGAACCAATATGATTCCGGATATGCAAATCCATGCGTGTCTAGGAGCCCGTGTGTCGATCGGTGCGTAGGACAACTCAGATCCACCAAAATTATATAAAAAAGAGACTCCACCCCTGAATTCTCCAAGTAGAGAGATGGCTCCAGCGATGGTTGTATCAAGCAACAATGGCGATGGTGGCAAGCGTCCCCCACACTTGGTCTTCGTCCCATACAAAGACAAAGGCCACACTGCACCATCAATTATCCTCGCCAACAACCTCGCCATTCTTCACGGTATTTCCATCACTGTGATCTTCGCGTCCGCGAAAGAATTGGAATCCTGGCCATCGCCGGCGAGTCCCCACATCCAATTCATGGCTCTCGACACGCAGGGAGGAACAAGAAGTAAGTCCGAGGCTCTCACTGCCACGCTGGACGAGCTCAAGCGCTCGGCCTCGCCACCCGTCGCAATTCTAGTGGATATCATAGTGATGTGGAGTGCTGACGCGATCCGACGTAGCAATCTCCCCAAGTTCGTGCTCTACACTGCTAGCTGCTCGTATTTGTCCGTCATGCTGGGGATTAAGGCACCTCTGCCCGAACCGTGGATCGATGAGTCCCGGGCCGCGTTCCAGTTGGGACTCGACGATCCCGAGATGCCGGATATCGAATCCCACGATTGGAATGACGACAGCGGGGAGGCGCAGGCCGTGCTGGTGAATTCGTGCGAAGAGCTCGAGCAGGAAGCTATGGCCGAGCTGATCAGAGCCCAGCCTCGGATCCCGCCAGTTCTTCCCGTCGGCCCCTTGCTAGCGATCGATGTCAATCCCAAGGCAGTGGGGCAAGAATCATCGCCACCCAATGCCGATGCGTGCAAGCAGTGGCTGGACGAGCAGCAGCCCTCGTCAGTGATCTTCATCTCGTTTGGCAGCAGGACGTTTCTGGCAGAGGAGCAAATCCACGAACTCGCGGCTGGATTGGAAGCCAGCAAGCGGCCATTCCTGTGGGTTCTTCCAGTCCCGCCAACCTGGGCCGATGGTTCGACTAAGGACTACCTGGATCATGTTCTTCCCGATGGATTCCTGGCGAGAAATCAAGCCGGGCTCATCCTGTCTGGATGGGCGCCTCAGAAGATGATCCTCCAGCACAGCTCCCTGCTAGCATTTGTGACGCACTGCGGCTGGAATTCCGTGCTCGAGTGCCTCTACCTGGGCGCCAAGCCGATGCTGTGCTGGCCGTTCGGCACGGACCAGCCCCAGAACGCTCGATTCATCGAGGAGGAGCTCAAGGCCGGGGTGGAGCTGGAGAAAGATCCCAGTGGAATCGTGCGCAGCAGCGAGATCCAAACCAAGATCGAGGAGGTGGCGAGGCTGGAGGCCAGGAACTCCTCTGGCAATGCTGCTACTGCTACAGAGCAAGTGAGAAACGCGAAGAGCTCCTCCATAAACCTCCAAGCATTTGCAGGTAGAGTGCAGGCCTACGTTTGATGTGACAATGGCGTGGCTAGGGATCTGAGAGATCTGGAAATCTTGGGCTAGGGTTTGTACAAGATCACAAGATGTTTGTAAAGGTCATGAGGGCATGCAGGGCATCTGGCCTTGTTATTGTATAGATGAGCTTGCTTCCTTGATTGTGTTGTCCAAAGATCTAGATCATGAGCTGTTTTGGAAACTTTCAGACACGTCAAGCCCGGATCCATGACCTTCTGTCACCAGCATTTAAAAATCCAACATAGATAGATGCCTCTTTTGTAGTTCTCGTTGTTGTTTTGTTCGTAAGTCCATATCAAACTTTGTCCATAATATTATTAGGGTTTTTTAACTCCAATGAGAGTGATATCTATTATAAATTAAGGCTGGTTTTTGTGGTGGTGGATATGTTTGCTCTCATCCCTGTTTGAGTAGATCAAAATCTGGAAACTCTTGCCGAAAAACCTCAATGCACTGACTGCTGAAATTTGGGGAGTCTCAACGTCGCTCTAACTGCTTCAACGCTGCCTGTAGCGCCCCAACACTCCATACTCACCTTTTTATAACTGGTCTGTGTCAGAATTTTCCTGGTTTGGTAGGGTGACGGCGATCTGGGCATGACTGTCTGCAGGCAAGGATCAAGACAAGGATATCGTTGTGGCGGCTTCTCTCTCCCAAAACCACAAGAATATGGTGTATGAGTTAGAATTGTGCATGGTTGGTTCATGAGGTGGGACAAATTGGTGGGACAGAGGGATGAACCTCAGCAATTTGATTATAATACTTGTCATTGCTCCTTTGTTACTCCAATTTTGTGCCATCGTCTGCAAATGTTGTCATCACCCATAGGTTGTTTGAGATATCCCACTGTGAATAAACTTGCATCAAGATAGGTGCTTCCTTTGCCCCGTTCAAACACAAAGCCATGTCACTTGTTGGCTATAGCGGTAAACGTGACAATGGCGTAATCAAAGAAGCAAGCTCGTCTCTCTTCTTTCGACAAGTCAAGCTCCAACACAGTTCTCCCAAGTTGAAAACAAGGCGCATTTAAGTGACCCGATTCATTCGCAAAGTGGACGGCGCGTTCTTTGGAGCTCGAAGCTTCTAGGAGAAACGTATGAATCCAATAAGATTCATACATACAAAGTCATACGTGTCAAGGAGCCCACATCTATGCGTGTCAAACGCTGCTCACAACCAAAAACATACAAAAGAGACTCAAAACCCATGAGATTTCCAAGCAGAGAGATGGCTCCAATGGTAGTATCAAGCAACAACGGCGATAACGGTAAGAGGTCGCATCCCCCACACTTGGTGTTCCTCCCGTTCACAGACAAAGGCCACATTGCGCCGTCAATGATCCTCGCCAACAAGCTCGCCATTCTTCACGGCACTTCCATCACTATGATCTTTGTGTCCGAGAAAGAATTGGAATCCTCGCCATCGCCGGCGAGCCCCCAGATCAAATTCGTGGTGCTCGACACGCAGGGAGGAACAAGGAGTAAGTCCGAGGCTCTCACCGAAAAACTGGACGAGCTCAAGCGCTTGGCCTCGCCACCCGTCGCAATTCTAGTGGATATCATAGTGCTGTGGAGTGTTGACGCGATCGAACGTAGCAAGCTCCCCAAGTTCTCGCTCTACACTGCTAGCTGCTCGTATTTGTCCGTCATGCTGGGGATTAGAGCTGAGCTGCCGGAACCCCAGATCGATGAGTCCCGGGCGGGGTTCCAGCCAAGGATCGACGATCCCGAGATGCCGGATTTTGGATCCCACGATTGGAAACGCGACCTCGGGGAAGCGCAGGCAGTGCTTGTGAATTCGTGCGAAGAGCTCGAGCGCCAAGCCGTGGAGGAGCTGATTAGAGCCCGGCCCCGCATCCCGCCAGTTCTTCCCGTCGGCCCCTTGCTAGCGATCGATGCCGATTCGCCCAATCCCAAGGCAGTGGGGCATGAACCATCGCCACCCAATGCCGAGGCGTGCAAGCAGTGGCTGGACGAGCAGGAGCCCTCGTCGGTGATCTTCGTCTCGTTTGGCAGCAGGACGTTTCTGGGCGAGGAGCAAATCCGCGAGCTCGCGACTGGATTGGAAGGCAGCAAGCGGCCATTCATGTGGGTTCTTCCAGTCCCTCCACACTGGGCCGATGGCACCAAGGAATACCTGGATCATGTTCTTCCCGATGGATTCCTGGCGAGAAATCAAGGCGGCCTCATCCTGTCTGGATGGGCGCCTCAGAAGATGATCCTCCAGCACAGCTCCCTGCTAGCATTCGTGACGCACTGCGGCTGGAATTCCGTGCTCGAGTGCCTCTACCTGGGCGCCAAGCCGATGCTGTGCTGGCCGTTCGGCGCGGACCAGCCCGAGAACGCTCGATTCATCGAGGAGGAGATCAAGGCCGGGGTGGAGCTGGAGAAAGATGGCGGTGGAATCGTGCGCAGTGGCGAGATCCAAGCCAAGATCGAGGAGGTGGCGAGGCTGGAGGCCAGGAACTCCTCTGGCAATGCGGCTACCCTAAAAGAGTACGTGAGGAATGCGCCGAGCTCCGCCAAAAACCTCCAAGCATTTGCAGAGGCTCTATCACAAATGTAAGATTGTTATTCCATAAGCTGTTTATAATAGTGTTCGTAGATAAGCTTACAGATCGATTTACTGAGCTCTTTGATCTGCTGATTTGTCCTCGCTCTCTCTTGTCTTTGGACACTGTTTCTTGTTCTGAATTTCTTGCTCGATGGTATCGATGATATTGCTTGTAAACTGTTAAGTTGCATAGCTGTTGTTCAAATCTTCTTCATAGCTGGGGCAAAAGTGGATCTCTCGTGCAAAGAGTCAGATCGTAGATCGTGTAAATTTTGAAAGGGACTCTCTCCACAGCGCTGACCTCTGGAGAGTATTTCGCTCCAATTGCTGCGCGTGGCCACCAACATGAGCAGGCTATGTGTTGTGATCCTGTGATGGTTACATCTGCCAGCTTCTGTGAAGTCAAGAATACATATTACACGGTATTGCAACCTAGGACTAAGGCTGCATTCATGCGCGTTAGGGAGCCCAGATCTTCCCGTGTCAATCGGTTCCCAGATCAAGACATAAACCTAATTAGAGAGATGGCAACAGGCGATGGCGGCAAGAGGTTGCATCCCCGACACTAACTGTTCGTCCCCTACAGAAACAAGGGCCACATTGCACCCGCAACTATCCTCGCCAACAAGCTCGCCATTCTTCACGGTGTTTCCATCACGATGATCTTCTCGTCCAAGAAAGAATTGCAGTCCCTGCCATCGCCGGCGAGTCCCCCAGATCCAATTCGACACGCATCTCACTGCCAAGCTGGACGTCGCAATTTGAGTGGACATCACGGTGATGATGTGGAGTGCTGACGCGATCCGACGTAGCAAGCTCCCCAAGTTCGTGTTCCACACTGCTAGCCTCACTGCTAGCTGCTCGTATTTGTCCGTCATGCTGGGAATTAAGGCACCTCTGCCGGAACCCTGGATCGATGAGTCCCGGGCCGCGTTCCAGCCAGCATTCGACGATCCAGAGATGGCTTCCCGCAACTGGAATCGCGACATCGGCCGTGCTGGTGAATTCCTGCGAAGAGCTCGAGCGTGTAGCCATGGCGGAGCTGATTAGAGCCCGGCCCCGGATCCTGCCAGTTTTTCCCATCGGCCCTCTGCTAGCGATCGATGGTGAATCGCCCAATACCAAGGCAGTGGGGAAAGAAGCATCGGCGCCCAATGACGATATGATCTTCATCTCGTTTGGCAGCAGGACGTTCCTGGCCGAGGAGCAAGTCCGCGAGCTCGCGGCTGGATTGGAAGCGACCAAGCGTCCATTCCTGTGGATTCTTCCAGTCCCTCCACAATGCCACGATGGCTCGACCAAGGACTACCGGGTGGGCGCCCCAGAGGATGATCCTCCAGCACACCTCGAGTGCCTCTTCCTGGGCCCCAAGCCGATGCTGGCGCTCGATTCATCGTGGAGGAGATGGAGGTAAAGAAAGATCCCAGCAGTGGAGATCCAAGCCAAGATCGAGGAAGTAACGACACTTATTATTCAATATAATGAGTCGGTGGTGGAGTGGGAATAAAGATCGCGAATAAGATATAAGATCGGTATAGATATTATGAGATCGTTAACTACATTATAAGATCGCGGATTACCAAAACATGGATCTTTCTAAACAAACCCAGGCATTTCTGGCAGGGGTGGCACTCCACCTGGAAAGTGGGACTCGTCTTCGCTTGAGCTACCAGCCCCAGGAACCTGGCCACTTCCATAGCCATAGCCAGTACTCCCAGAGCCCGAGCTGGATCCATAGCCATAGCCGGAGCCACTGCCTCCGCCAGGGCCACCACCGTATCCAGAGCCATAGCCGCTCGCACTACCATCGCCACTGCTACTTCCACTGCTGGAACCGTAAGAAGAGCCGTCTGGAGTGTGGCCGTGGGAGCCGTGGTGATGAGAGTTCTTCCTCGGGCGAGGTGCTGGAACGAAACCTCCAGCTGGAAATCCAGTTCGAGCTTGAGCTTCGTCTTCCCATTCCAGCTGCTTACGGGACTCTATCCCTCCCAAAACCACCAGCACAAGGAGAGCCACCGCCACCGTCTTCATTGCCACTGTCTTCATTTCAGCCTGCTGGAGTTGAAGTAGAGAAGGAACTATATATACTTCCTCCTGTCCCTAAGTGGAGATCCAAGTTGCCTTTAAACTAGTTGCCGACTTCTTATCTAAAATAGTGAAACGAGCACTTACACTTGGGACGTCTTGTCAAGACGTCTACCTCAGAGGAGCTCTAGAGTGTTGTTGGCCACCGCCTGGCAGAGTTCTTCCTCCGTGAATAGCACTCGGTGGGATGTGATTGCTCTAGGCGCGGGCCTGGGTTCCTCGATGCCATGTTCGTAATCGCCCGGAAAGAGATTAGCAGCCACTTGTTTCAAGTCTCCCAAGGCTATTCTAGCTTGAGGGGGCCTCGGTGCATGTCTTGGAGCCATCGGGGTGGTCGGTTGATCGCTAGTGCGACTGACAAAGAAAAAGAAAAAGGTGTTGGACGGAAAGAAAGATGGACGGAAAGAGTAATCGAGAGTACCTTGCAAATGGCCAACGTTCATTGGGTCTAGGAGTCATCAGCTCGAGCTCCACTTGACGCTCACGATTCGGTGTCCTGAAATCGAAATGGGACTCCTGGGCTATAAGGACCTGCCACAAGATTCAGAGATAAGCAGCGATAGGAGAAACCACCATTTTCATACCGCTTGTCTGAATCGTCTGCAAACGTGGAAAGCAGGCTTGAGTTGATCATGGTGTAGACTGCAGACGATGCGAACCTAGCATAGAAAAGAGAGAAAGAGAGAGAGAAGAAAAAAGCGTAGTCCAGTCAGTCTCATCTCCGGCATGGGCAATGATGGATCGCTTACCAGAAGCTCCAGAGGAAGACGGTCAAAAGGCGATTCCTTCCGACGATCATTAGGGTAGAGCTGCCCCGATGGCGTCATTGGGGTTCTTGGCGCAAAACCCTCACTCCCCGCCAGCAAAAGCCCCTCTTTTCTGGCACGGGCCACGGATTTTGAGATGGCATAGCGGCACTTGACCTTGCCCTTGCGTCTCGGCCTGGAAATCTCTGTGGCGGCTTCCTGATAGTGGAACTTGGAGACATTGAGATTCATGACCGAGGACGATCGGCGATCCCTTGCCTGACACTGGCGGCACCGATAATACCCGGCGGACTGCTCGAACGATTGCCTCTGCTCGTCGCGCGCATACCTCTCGTGCCGCCGGCACACACACCGCCTGTGAACAATGCTCATTCGCCGCCTACTAAGAACCCTAGGTGAAGAGCGGGAAACTTTGAAATTACTAGGGCGGCGCCGAGAATATGCTAAATATCGGATCTTCGAATGTACGTTTGGGCGGGAAAGTTTGAATTGTCTAGGTTAGCTATGCCACGTCACAAGAAAAAGAATATGTCGCAAACATTCTCTTTTCCTAGAATATACCGTTTCCGGAAGACCTAATTTCGGAGCTTCAATGTCGCGAAGACGAAGGGGTGGAGCGCAGAGCAGCGGCCGCAGCAGCAGGGAGAGCAAGAGCCATTGCTCGAATCGATCGCATTTTGTGGAGGCCGGATTTCTGAGTGATTGGAAGCCAAAGGGTAAGTCGTCGCGGCATTCTAGCTCAATCCTATCTGTTAGCGCTTGTAGAGGGACGCGGGAAGCATAGGGGCACCCGTAAGGATCTCGATCACGAATTTCTGGTCGTAGAGGACGAATACAAGAGTAAGTGCCTCACGATCATTGTGAAATTTTTTTCTTAACGAAAAATGTGGCTCGCAGGAAGACCAAGCAGAGATGGTTCGTTTCCAATTCCGAGCGAAGCACAGGTTGGTTGAGTCTTGTTGCGTATGAACTTTGGCTGGAAAACGATTTTTGCTACTCAGATAATTCTCGCTGCTCTTCCCACCCGAGCAGCCGTTTTCGAGGACAAGGGATCATCCATGGACATACCAAGCTGCTCTAGACGATCAACAAAGACAAAGACTCCAAGATCAAACAAAGCCAAAAATCACACCAAGTATGAGAAGAAGCCGAGTTCCAGCTCATCCTCGGACAGTGAAGACGATTGTTCCTCGAGTGTGGATTCGGACCTCGCTGAGGACTACGCAGGAAATCTTGGAAACGAGGTCTCACTGGAGGAGCTCTCCACGGAAATGGCAATGAGAGCCATGGCAATGAAAGTGGCTCTCGAGAGTGGTGACGAGATTGACGAGGAGTTTTTTCTCTCGGATTCCGACGATGACGAGAGCGCAGATGGCGATGATGGCTCCAGCAGCAGCGAATCGGTTGTCCATGCGGGGCTTGGATACAAGTCCGGCGATAGTAGCTCCGAGGACGATGACGACGTGGAAGCCGTATTTTCCAGACAGGGAGCCCGTTTGAAATGTCTTGATCTGAGCGACAACGAAGAACTCATCGGAGTCATTGAACCATCTTTCATTCTAGACAAAGGCCGTATAGAAAGAAAGGGGCTGGACACGGCTCGCTGGCAAAAAGGAGTACCTGGTAAGAGTTTCTTTTCATACGATTTTTTAATAGTGTTTGATTGATTCCAGGAGAGAGGAAGAAATACAAAAAGGAATTAATCGCCCGCAAACGCAGAGAGAGAGCATTGCACCGGGGTGTTGATCTCGAGAGCATGAACGTGGTACGTATGAAGGCTGTGATTCATCTGTTGCGGTGAAAAGTGTTAGCTTTTTCACAGATGTTTGAGAGCATGGTACTCAGCGAATGCGATATGCTTGCTCTTCAACCAATGAAGCATAGGGACCTTACTCTGGTAATTAGACCACCTTCGCTGAAAATTGGATCGTAACTTATTTGTCTTTCGCAGGTGAATAAGCTTGCTGCTGTATACCGTCTGAAAGTCGGGGCTCATGGATCTGGGAAAAAACGGTGAATCAGTCGGGCTTTTTCTGTGCTCGGATTGTTTTTTACGTATCTGTTACAGATTTCCGACTGTGACACGAACCAGGCACACGGCTCTACCGCAAGGACTGGATATTCAGCAAATGTTAAAGGTCTCGCTTCCATTTTTTTTTTTCCATCTCTTATGATCTTTCTTTCTACCAGCTTCTGGGGCGTGAAAAAGAACTCGACGACTCGCCACCGAAAGCCAAGAAGGGTGAAGCTGGAAGGCTGGCTGCCAAGTACAAGAGAGCTGCTCGGCACGCTCGGGCGAGCATGGCACGAGAGAACGAAAAGCTTGAGCAGCATGGCAAGAGAAACAAGAAGCCACTGAAGAAGAGAAAAGATGGCGAGCGATCATCTTCGATCCAGCAGCAGCCGCCAAGTTTCGTCTCGAGCGGTGTGCTCCAACCGGGTGACAATCCAGAAACTCCGGTGGTGCTTTTCTCCGAGACGAGCGTCACTGTGAGGAGCAAAGAGAGCGTTGACAAAGCTCCACTCGGGAGCTTCGAAGCTCACACCAAAGGCTTTGGCTCGCGAATGCTGGCGAAGATGGGATTTGTGGAAGGGAGTGGACTGGGAAGAAATGGACAGGGAATGACGCAGCCTCTTCTCCCTCGATCTCGCCCAAAATCGCTGGGACTTGGCGCTTGAGCGATCAATCGATCGATAGAGTCTATGGCTGACTTACTGTTTAAATTAAGCGCCTCTTCCACGCTTACGTTTTCTGGCTAGGGCGTTCGTGACGCAAGAAATTCGTGGCGATGGCGCAGGCCAGCGCCGCCCCGGCGCTGGAGCTGGATTTCGGCTCGGCGCTGCCGAAATACGCAGGCATTGAGGAGGCGGCATCGAGCAGCGGCAGCTTTTGCGTGGATTTGGAGCTGGATCGGCAGCAGCAGCGCCAGTGCCGGATCTGTCTCGAGTGTGGAGGTGAGAATGTGTGGGAATTTCTTGAATGGAGGATTATCGGATGCTTGTTTCGTCCAGGGAGTGACTTGATCGCGCCGTGTCAATGCAAAGGGACGCAGAAGTTCGTGCACAGATCGTGTCTGGACAATTGGAGGGCGGTCAAGGTACTCTGCTGCGCAAGAAAGCGGCATCTCTGTCTGTAAGTAGCGGTGGAAGAGATGATGGCCTGATGGATGGAATGGTTTTCGTTTTTGTTCTTCTTTCCTGTTTCTACTAGGAAGGATTTGCTTTCTCCCATTGTACCGAGTGCCGGAGTGTGTTCCAGATGAGAGTCAACAGGCCGCCGGATCGATGGTGGCTCCGGCTCAAGTTCCAGCTGCTTGTCTTTCGAGACCACACTGTCATTTTCGTGCTCGTCCAAGTGGTAAGTAAGATCTTATCCTCTTTGTTCTTGGAGCACTCACAGCGTTTTGATGCTTCACTTCCAGGTTGTGATCTTGCTGGGCGCGCTTGTGTATGCCTTCTACGGGGAGGAACTCAAAGAGATGTTTGGCTACGACGAGCAGCACGCGTATGGTTTCTACGCACTCGCTGGTAAGTCATTCCACTATTCTCGCTGCGTTTTTCAATCGAATTCTCGCAGTGCTGGTGCTCATCTTGGTCGGGCTTCTCTACGGGTTCTTCATAGCCATCATCTGTGGGCGGAAGATCACCAACAGGCACTACCACGTCCTAGAAAAGCAAGACCTCACCAAGGTAAGCAAAGGAAGCACATTTTTCGATATAGTCAGTGACAAATGCGAGTTTTCCCTACAAGGAGTACATTGTGGAAGGATTAGACGACGATGAAGAAGAAGAACAAGAACAAGAAGAACAAGAAACGTCACTAGCGCCATCGCCAGTGGCCGAGTGACGGGACGAACTTAAATTTGGGGGGCTGGCTGAAAGGTAAGATTAAAATAAGCCCGTCAACGTTTTTAGGGTTCGTGGTAGCTTGTAAGAAGTGGCAAAGAAGCTAGGGTGAGCGCGCAACGACGCAAGACGATCGCGACGCCGGCATGTCAGGGGGCGGCTCCGGCGACGAGTTTCGCTGTTTCGTGGGCGGTCTCTCGTGGTCCACCGACGATCAAGCGCTGGAGAGCAGCTTCCGGCAGTTTGGAAGGATCTTGGAGGCCAAGGTACTCGCTTCTTCTTGGTTTCTTTTGCGCGGTCCCGAGAGAGCCATGATGGATCCATCACTGTGGTGTGTGTTCTTGGCAGGTGATCATCGACCGGGGGTCGGGGCGATCGCGCGGGTTTGGCTTTGTCACCTTCGCGGACCAGCGCGCAATGGACGAGGCGATCGACCGGCTCCACAACAAAGAGCTCGACGGCCGCGTGGTGACGGTGAACAAGGCACTGCCCAAGAGCGACACCGGCGGTGGCATGGGGTTTGGCGACCGCGACCGCGACCGCGACAGGGACCGCGACAGGGACCGTGACCGCGACTTCGACCGTGGTGCCGGCGACCGTTACCGCGACCGGGAATATGCCGCTCCTTACAGTAATGGCTACGCCGGGAGGGGCGACAACAATGGTAGCGACAGTTGCTTCCGGTGTGGGCGGCAGGGTCACTGGGCCAGGGAATGTCCGGTCTCTTCCCGCGACCGCTATGGCAGCGGTGGCGGCGGTGGCGGCGGCGGTGGTATTGGCAGGGATGTCGGCTTTGGCGGCCGCTATGGTGACCGAGGCGGCGGTGGTGACTACTTTGGAGACCGCTACGAGCAGCGCTACAGCAGTGACGAGTATGGAAGAGAGCGGAAGTATGAAGGTGGCGGCGGAGGGATCCGGGACCGTGAGCGGAGCAGTGGCGGAGCTATGAGGTACGATGGTGGCTATAGAGATCGTCCGGGGCCGTATGACCGGGCACCGCACTTTGATCGCTCAGCTCCCCCGGCGTATGATAGGCCGCGGCTGCGTGGCGCTGCTAGATCTTCTTACGATCACTACTGATGATGTACTGCGATGGGGGACAAGTCTTTGGGACGAACTTCCTCCTCGTTTGGTTTCTTCTTTCCAGTTTTCTCGCAAAAAGATTACTACTACTACGTCGTTTGAGCACTCACTAGAGCTGGAAAGGTGTCACGTCTATGCCCCTGAGAGGGAGAAAGCACACTGTCACTGCTTTGAAACTTTGCTCCAGGAACTGTACCTCTGAGACGCTTGCTCGTGCAAGCTTTCGATCTCGGCCTCGAGCTCCGTGCAAGCCGCGTCGATGTCGTTGTTCTTTTGGCAGATCTCCACCCACTGTGATCTCAGATGAGTGAGAACAGTCGCGGCCGCTTGCTGGAGAAAGAAACTCTTGGGTCAGTCACGGCACTTGCATTGTAAGTTGGCAGACCTGATTCAGCTTACGATCGCGATTCAGTGATTCGATCTGTTGAGAGAATGCCCGTGCTATCGACTGCAGCCTGGCAGGCAGCAAACAAGAAATGTGAAAAACCAAACGAGGAGGGAGTCGGACTTTACTTGGAGAAGTAAGCTTCCAAGCGCTGGTTGTGAGCACGCCAGGTATTTCCACTGTACTGGAGCATAAGCTCCAAGTTTTCAATCCTGGAAGAGAGGAATCAAGAGCTACTTCGACAAAAACGAGAGAGTTCTTACACTACCTCATGGTTTGATACTCGAGCTGGACTTTGGCCTTGCGGAGGTAGTCGTTCCATTCGTAGAGATCGTTTCGCTTGCCAACGGGAGGAGCTTGGACGCCATAGCGTGACAAATCCAGGGCCAGCGGCGGCCTTCCTGCTCGGAGACGCTCCAATGCCTTGGCGACCAGAGGCCCTTCCTGACCAGAATCAAACAGAGAGGGCGAGTGTAAGAAATGCGTGGAGAAATGCGAGATTATTTCTTGCCTGGAGGAGATTGGAGCTCGGCAATGGCGGCAAATCCTGCAAGAAATCCACGGGGCGCTTGCTGCTCCGGCTCATCTCCTCGTCTATCAGGCGCTCCACCTCCCGCTTGAGCTGCGGATCCGCGTACTCGTGGTCGACGTAGGGAAGCGCATCGACCACGGTGTTGTCGGACGATCGCCACCGGGCTCCATCGCTCATCATCATCTTCCCTCCCTTGTTAGATGAGAACCCTAAATCTTCCTCTCTTTAACCCTAGCCAAGAAGAGCAAGACGACCAAGAGGATTGGCGCGCGCCTGGACGAAATGGTGAGTGGATTTTCGCTTGGATCCGTGCCGAGACATCGATCGCCGTGTTGGATGCGCAGATTAGATTCATCCTCTTGCAAAATCGCCAGGGGAAGACTCGTCTCGCCAAGTACTATGTCCCGCTCGAAGACTCCGAGAAGCAAAAGCTCCAGTATGAGGTAAATCGCTCCCAGATTCGAGTGTTGGAGTGGAATTTCTCGCATCGCAGGTGCACAGGCTCGTTGTCAATCGCGATCCAAAGTTCACGAATTTCGTAGAGGTTGGTCTCTTTGGTTTGCTTCTTTTCTTTGGTTTACACGGAGTTTTTGTTTGTTCTCTCTTCCAGTTTCGCACACACAAGGTGATCTATCGACGCTACGCCGGGCTCTTCTTCTCAATGTGTGTGGATATCACGGATAACGAGCTGGCCTACCTCGAGAGCATCCACCTCTTTGTGGAGATCCTAGACCATTTCTTCAGCAACGTTTGCGAGCTAGATCTGGTTTTCAACTTCCACAAGGCCAGTTTCTTTCCTTGCTTTTTTATTCTCCCGGTCTGGTGTTGCAAGCACTCAGCGCCTGCTGGTTTCGTTTACAGGTTTACTTGATCCTCGACGAGTTCATTCTTGCTGGCGAGTTACAAGAAACCAGCAAAAAGGTATGCCGTCGTATGTTCTCGTCTTTGTTCCTTGGATTCATGAGTTTGTTCCAGGCAATAATCGAGCGGATGGCAGAACTAGAGCGGCAGGAGTGACCATCATCTCAAAAGACAATAGGCAGCCTCCGGGCTCGCACAAAGGCATCGAGTTTATCCCAAAACTCGAGAACTGCCGTGCGGTCCTGGTGCCTCTTGTGCTTGCTCAGCTGTTTAGCAAACAAAGAAGAGTAAGAAGGCATTCGTTTTTCTCGCGATTCTTTTTATCTTCATTTACCGAGATGATCTTGACATTCCATTGCATCACGACTTTAACCGATTCCATGCTGTCGTCCTCGAATCTCAGGTACACTCCCAAAACTGCCACAAACAGGTTTTCAGCTGCGAAGTTGCGAACAACGAAAGCACGGCACTCACTCTTGTTGAAGATCTCGACGTGGTCCTTGAACGGCCAGTCCTTGAATTGCCACTCCTTGCCGAGAACGAAGACAGCAACGACTCGTTCCCAGTCCTTGGAGGAGAGAGCCGACGGCCTGTCTCTCACCTCGTACTTGACTGGGATCTCCCGGCCGATCTTCCGGTAGATGGGAAGCGTCTCGGGCTTCTTGGCAGCGGCGGACTTTTTGGCATCGGCCAGGACGTAGACACCATCTTCCAGGAACTCCTTGGCGTTGAAGGTGTTGAGCAGCGTCTGCGAGGCATTTGGAACGAGGATGATAGGTGGTCCTTCGATCTTGGCCTTGCTCGACGATCTCGCCAGAGTTTGCTGGGAAGATGGTGGTGGTGGCGGGGGTCGCTTCTCCATGGAAGGAGCAGCGGCAGACTTGAGATCCGGCTCCACTTTGACGAACTTATCCGTGGAAGAAGATTGTGGCTCTCTCCTCTGCGAGTTCTGGGATTGCTGCTGTGACTGCTGCTGGGACTGCTGCTCGATGCGCTCCCGGCGTCCCAAGGTGGAGAGGATCCCCTCGAAGCTCTTGTTGGGACAGAGGAGGATGGTCTCGCGATCACGCACGGGACGCTCCAGGCTCCTCACCAGCTCGATGAGGAGGCAGGCATCCACAGGCTGGTCTTGGTCGCTCCGGGGCCGCTTGCTCGGGTGGAGAGCCCCGGCCTCGTCCGCGGCAGCGAGATCGCCCGGGGAGAGCTTGTCCAGCGACGCCGCCGACGAGGCGACCGGCGGCAAGAGCTCGATGGCATCACTGGTGGAGACCTTGCCTTCGAGGTAGTCGAGCAGCGGCTTCTTGTCGGTGTAGGTGACGATCTGGAGCTTGAGAGCTCGCGCCTGCTGCATGTACTCGGTGTGCTTGAGGTTGCTGCTCTTGACGAAGAAGACGAGCGAGTCGAGCGTGTAGAAGAAGCCGAGCTTGGAGCGGTAGCCCGTCTCGGTGCTGCACGGGAACCTGTAGTCATTGCCGAAGCGGAACTCGTCGCCCACGCGGTGGACATTGCCCAGCTCCTTGCGCGCCGTGTAGTCGCGGAGAACGCTTAGGGCATCCATCCCTGCGCCTGGGCTGGGCAACAAAGGCCCTAGCTTTATACCTAGGGTTTAACCAAGAATAATCTTTACACAGCATATTCTGTTAGGTTAATGCGCATATTTTTTTAGCTGGCATATTCTGTTAGTTGGTGCCATATAAGAATATCTGTTTTTGATTAGCATATTCTGCTTACTTGGGGTACGTATACTTGGCATTTTGCTGGCGGCTATTTCGCTCTTTGACCCCTGGAGCTCGAGCTATGGCGGAGGTGACTCTTTACACAGCATATTCTGTTAGATTAATGCGCATTTTTTTTTAGCTGGCATATTCTGTTAGTTGGCGCCATACTAAGATCTGTTAGTTGGCAAGATGTTTTTGATTAGCATATTCTGCTTACTTGGTATCCTTGGCATTTAGCTGGCTGCTATTTCGCTCTTTGACCCCTGGAGCTCGAGCTATGGCGGAGGTGACTCTCCTCTCACTGCCGGCGAGTCCGTTTGCTATGAGCGTGAAGATGGCGCTGATCGAGAAGGGCGTGGAGTTTGCTACGGTGGAGGAGAACTACCGGGCCAGCGGCAAGAGCGAATTGCTCGTCAAGGTGAATCCCGTGACCAAACAGGTGCCCGTTCTCCTCCACCGCGCCAAGCCCATCTGGGAGTCGCTCGTCATTCTCGAGTACGTCGAGGAGACTTGGAAGGCGCAGGGCACTCAGCTCCTCCCTGGCGATGGCTACCAGCGGGCGTTGGCTCGCTTCTGGTCGAACTTCGTCATCACCAAAGTAAGTTTTCTTAAGTTTTGATTAGCTTCTTCCAGATCACCCAACACCGTCTTCGCCAGTTTTGGGAGACTGGATTGCTGATCATGAAGCGAGTCGGAGACGAGCAGCTGAAAGCTCGAGATCAAGTGCTGGAGATGATCCGTTTGATGGACAGCGAATGGAGCAAGCCCGAGTATGGGAAGCCGTTTGTGTTTGGCGACAAGCTGAGCTTAGCGGACTTGGCCTTGGCTCCCATTGCGTCGTGGAAGGTCACCTTCGAAACGCTCGGGAAGTTCGAGTTCCCGGACGCTCGGACCTGTCCTCGGATGGCTCTCTGGCTGGATGCAATCGAGAATCATCCCACGGTGCAGTCGGCGATTTTAGCACCGGATCTGAACCTGGAAAACGCAAACATCATTCAGAAACTCATCAAGGATAACAAGATCAAATTCTAAACAGGTTCTTTAGTAGTGAATAAGGTACTTGATCAAGTACTTGAATAAATTGCTCTTTGAGAACCTTCGAGCTGGAACAGAGAGAGAAACACGTCGTTTCAACAGAGATATAGACTAAGCAACTTGCTGGAAACTTAGTGCTTCGAGCTGTGGGGAGGAACCAAGCTTCTCTTCACAGCCCCAAACAACGCAGTGAGGATGATTCACATAAAGCTGCTAGACAATACTTGAAACTTCAAGCTCGTTGGATCTTTTCGTGGCCATGAGGAACTTGTTCTCCGGAGATACTTGAGGAGAAATATACTTTACCATCTTCGTACTCATCCCTGTCCTTTGCAGCCACAAGAGCCTGCCCATGTCAAGAAGCTCCTTGCACTTCATTCCCAACTCCGCCTTCCTGGCACAAACGAGAATAAAAACATTAACAACAGAGAAAAGAAGATCCCAATGGCGACAACTCACTCATCGCAGTTTCCACTCAATGCCCAGCTTGTCATCCAAACCACAGCCTCAAAATCGGTCTTTGTAAGCCCCATGCTTTGAAAAAACTCTTTGTCTGTCACCCACATTCACAAGCTAGAATCAGAATCCAGCCACGCCATGATCATATCAATCTCAAGCACTTACTCACATACGCCTTCCACTGGCAAAGATGATGGCAGCACGTCGCAAAACCAATTCCAAAAACCACGCTTGATTGTGAACAACATCGAAGTGCCATATCTGGATAGGAAACTTGTAAAAATTTGCCACAAACTGATAGAGTACCTGTCGCCGCTCCACAAAGGTGCTTCCCTACGGCCACAACCTTCTTGCAGCCCTGGAGAGCGTCCACAGCATCCAGCTTAAGATCTTCAACTGCGGCCATAGAGTAGTGTGAATTTTCATCGCCACCGCAACAAAAAAGTAGAAAATAGACTTACTGTCTACTCTAAGCCGCGACAAAGACACGCCAGCTGCGTAGCGAAGAGTTCGATCGGCCTGCGATGTTACCACCACCGAGTGAGAAATCCGAGAACTCCGTGAATTCATTTTCGTACCTTGAATTTGTAAGATCTCCGTTCGACCAAGATGATGTTGTCCGCAGCATAGCAATCGGAGAGCATGTGTGACAAGTATCCTCTTCCGGCACCAAACTCGATAAAGCACTCCTCATTCCTTCCACGATCAGTATCGCCAAAACCTTCGTCATTTCTTCGCCTGAGCAAGCCGATCTCTTCCAAGTTTCCAAGCATCGAAGCTTGCTGAGAGATATGCTTTTCCTGCATAGGGTGCCTCCTGTTGTGTAAAACCAGCGAAGCAAGCGAAAAAGAAATTCATGAAAGCGAATGAGAGAAAGATACCTGTCGACGTTCGAGCACAGCCACTTTGCACAGGCTGATGGCGTCGCAAAGCTTTCCTGGAGTAGCGACACGCCAGTCCCTCTCTCCGATCTAAAGCAGCTGCTGTGAGCAACCTCGATCTTCATCACGAGCTCCTCGAATTTGTCCTTTGGTAGCGACTCGATCGCCGCTCTCCTGCTGCCAGATTCCACACTGTCCTTCCCTTCCTCCTCGCAATCGCAATCGCTTCCAGCATTGACGCCAGGACTGAAATAGGGGCGATTCTTGGCATCGCGCTCGAGCTTGGCAGCGGGGCATTTGCGCAGATGCGCGGCGATCTTGTGCTCTAGAACCGTGCTGCGGAGCGAGGAAATCCATGAATCAACAAGCGCAAGAATGGGAGGGCTTACTGTGAGGGATCGATCGGGCATGGAACCCTGGATTGCGACGGCTGATGATTCCCGCAGTAGCTGGAGACGACCGATCGATGAGGAGAGATTGTGAGAAGCAGCGCTAGATTTCTTACTTGGATCCTGGCAGCGCCGAGCCGCCGCAATGCCTGCCCTTCCTGGGCAGCCACACACCACAGCCCATGAGTGTTTGACACGCTAACAGAATATCCCACGTCCCGTTACCGCATATTCCGGCGACAGTATACGGTAGTAGTAGAATGTTTGCTGCCTTATTATGAAAAGAAAGAACAAAAAGAGCAAGAAAGGAGGAGAGGAGAGAAGGGAGGACTGGCAAACTGGAGCGATTGGGACCTAATCGCTAGGAACAGTGGCGCCGGGGCGATCATCGATCCATTCGGAAGAATTCCTTGGCGCCGATCCGGGAATGAATCTTGTCGCGGCAATGGAATTGGATTGAAGGCGGCCGCGGCGGAGGGGAAGATCGAGAGAGGTAGGGGGTTTTTTTCGGCCAAGAAATGGTGGAGTGAGAATGTAGATCTGTGTGTTGCGAGAGATCGAGAGCCATTGCGCGATGGATTCCTTCTCACAGTCCCTGGATTTGTCCCCTTGCAGAAATTTCGGATTTGGGGGACAAGACGGCAGCGGGACGAGATCGATCGAAGGATTTCGGGGGCTCCGACGGCATGGCTATGGTCGAGTTGGTACGCTCTCCCTCCTCGCAATCAGGGCATCCTTGCATCCATCCATCCATCGCTCTCTTTGATTGATTGGCTTGCTCTCTCTCCCGGAATTGCCCCCTTTTTTCTTCCGGTTTCCTATATTCTTGAGCACGACGCACGCATTTGGATGATTTTGTTCCAGGCGGGGACGACGCGCCGCGCAGTGGTGAGGAGCGAGCGATTCATGGAGTGGCAGCGCGAGTTGATCAGGTCCGTGCTCTCGCGCATCGCATCGCATGACCAAGAAGCAAAAAATAAAAAAGAAAGAGAGGCTGTGAGCTTTGGAAATTTCGTTGGTTCGTTCGCTGGGCTACTCAATGACGCTGACTGACCGACCATTTGGGTTTTTCCCTTTGCGTGGTTTTGCAGGGGCAGCAGTTATAGCGCACGCAAGCGCCGAGAGAATGAGAGCGAGTGTCATCAACCGGCCAAGAAGTGCTGCATGGTGAAGAAGAGGTATGAAGAACAATCAGATTTTTTTTTTTCCTTCGTCGTCGTCTCCAACTTAGCAGCTATGAGCCCTAATGCCTCGTCTTGTTCGTCCTTTACCAGTGGTACGAGTGGCAGTGGCAGTGGCAGTGACGAAATCGAGCTGCTGCTGCCCGACGAGGACAAGGAAAGGAATGGGAGTAATGTTGCTGCGGCCAGTGCTCCTCCTCCGGCCGGGGGGAATGCTGATGAAGACGGAGGTCTTCTCGGCAGCAGGGGTATCAAGGTCATGGCAAAGAAAGAGCAGCAGCACAATCACCACCACCACCACCACCAACACCACCACCAACAACAACAGCAGCAGCAGCAAGTCCACCACCAAGTAGAGCACAAGAAAGGATTGAACGGGAAGACGACCAAGATGGGGACCAAGCATGATCCCGACTACCACAAGCCGCCAGATGAAGGGAACTGTCGAATGCGCAGGTGTCACGGCTCTTCCAAGCAAGAACAAGATCAGCAACAGCAGCTGGGGGCTTCTCCAATGCGGCGGACGCAGAGAAGAAGCAGCGAACAGCCGCAGCAGCAGCAGCAGCATCAATCGGATCAGAGGAGCTTCAGGTTCTTGACACGGTAAGTTCCAAAGTTCTTTAGTATTTTTTTTTTCTTTTGTTTCTATCTTGGCTTGGCAGGAACCGAGGTGTATCTCCACCTGTGATCCCCGCTGCCGCTGTGCCAAGCAAGGCCTCGAAGCGATCCAAGCGTGTCGCTCAAAGGCTCGCTAACGAAGAACCTCCGCCGCCGCCTCTCAAGCTCCCAAAGCTCCACCTGGTGCTCACCAGGAAGGAGATTCAGGAGGACTGGATGAAGATCACGGGTCACAAGTACAGTGGCAAGCCAAAGAAATCGACACTCATTCAAAGGGTAAGATCTTTCGATTTGTTTTGTTCGAGACAAACACTTTCATCACTTGGTTGTTGCAGGGATTGGCGCTCTGTACCGCTCTAACTTGCCCGTCCTCGATTCGTTACCTCAATGATCCACAATGTAAGCTAGATCCCCATAGCCATGTCTTTGTTCTCTTCTAAACAGCTTCTCTTGTGGCAGAGCTTTCGATCGATTCGATCCAAATAGATCCACTCATTCTTATTTGTAAATGCAGTGCTCTGTTTTTAGGGCAGAAGCATTTTCTAAAGCTTAGATGTAACAACCCTGGAAGCAAATCTCGAGCGTCGGTTTTGGTGTGGCCAATAACAGCCGTTGGATGTCGCATTCCCCTCCCTCCTTCCCTAATTTTCTCCCCCAGCTGGCTGGATGGCCGCTTGTTCTACGCCCATACGCCCTTGCGAAAGATCGCCGCTCGCATCCTCATCCGCGCCTCGGATCGCTCGTCTCGCCAAGGTACGCCGCTCGCCATGATCTCATCGCTGCGATTCTTGCTCCATTTCCCCCTCCCAATCTGGAGCCGCGGATTTTCTCCTCTTTTCTCGCTCGATCGGCGCCTCCTCTTGCATTCATTGCTCCTCGCTCGCTGCGGCCTCTCGCATTTCGTGCCTGAGACAAGCAAAATAATTTTTTTCCCTGATCTTTATTTTTCCTTGGTTGTGAGCAGCACCACGGTAGCGTTAAATCAGTCTATTCTCACAGAGGACTTGACAAGCGCAAGAAAGGGACGCTCTTGTATAGCAGCAAGCACTGGGCTGGCTCTCCTCGAGGATCGGGCAGGCCTCGCGTCGCGGTGCCCATCGGAGAGGTCGGCGATGCTCTCATCACTAACAGTGGCCTTCGGGCTTCCGACACGCTGCTCGTCGTTAACTTTGGACCGTACTTGCGGCGGTTGCCGATCAAACGCGTTTGTGTATGGGCAACAGTGGCACTGGTCCTCTTCCAACTACGAGATTTCGTCGGGGTATGGCTTTTATCTTTCCTGGTTTTGTATTGATCCTTTGGTTGGTTTCTCTCTCTCTCTCTCAGGTGATAATGGGAACCATTGTGCTGTCGATGATTGGAAATACTTTCATAAGCTGGGCAGAAGAGTACTTGCCCGGGAGGAGGCGTTTTTTGATCGCGACCATGTATGTCGTGATCATCGCTGTGCTAACGGGACTTGGTATCATGTACATACCGAGGTTGCTCCAGGAAGGTGCCAATATCATTGGTCGCATTCAGGTGAGTGTAGACTTTAATTCTTTTTCTCTCCAGCTTTTCAACTTCTTGCAGCAAAGCGAGAACCCCTACAGCCTTTTATCCGAGAAACTCAAAAGCGCTTTGGGAGAGAATGTGACCGATCAAGTGAGTTCGGACTCGAAAAAAAATAAAATAAAAGAGACTGTCTGCTTTGGTCAGCTAGCTGATTAACCATGTTTCTCTCCCAACAGCTGGAAAGATTTCTTCTTGCCGTGATGAGGCCAGACTCCGTCGTCCGGGTAGGTGTTTCTTTCTACGGAACCTGTTTCTGTACTAAATTTCCAACTCGTTCAGGAGTCCATGGCCGGTAACACCGCTCAAAGGTCCATAATTTTTCAGCAGCTGATAAAGGAGTACTCAGGAGCGATGGTAGCTTGGCTAGCAACTCTCATCTCTGCAACAAGTCGTTTCGCACTGCAGGTTAGCCATTTCCAACGCATTAACACAGAAAGTAATGAATTTTTTTGTTTTTCTTTTCTTTTCTTTTGTTCTTGTTTCTCGTGCTTCAGAGTTTTGTTAGTTTAATATTTTCCTTCCTCTTTGTCTGGGATGCGCCTTCTGTAAAAGCAGGTATCCAATCGCTGAAACAAACTAGGCTCTCTGTTGTATATGAGGAGATAGCACCCGTGGTGAGTTGTTTTTTTCTTCTCTTTTTTTATTTCTCTGAACGATGACCTCAGGTGGCCACATTCGGGCAAATTTTTGGAAAAGCTTTACAGGCACAGAGCACCATCGCATTGGTAAACACAGTTTTGACAAGCTTAGGCCTCCTGGCGTTGAGAGTATCTGGAGTAGGATGGCTTTCATTGCTGGTGTTCTTGTGCTCCTTCGTACCCGTGGCTGGAGTTATAATCTCGACGGTTCCCATTGGAATTGTAGCTTTTGTGGAGTAAGTGTTTTGCTTCCTTCGCACACATTTAATCGTTGGGTTTGTCCTTTTATTTTCTATCAGGACTGGATTCTTACAACTGAGCTTGGTGGTTTTGATGGTAATACTCATTCACGCTTTGGAAGCGTACGTGCTAAATCCTGCAATATATTCAGGTAGAAAAACAATTATAAAAATAGCGTCTAAGTTCCTCTTGTTTTTCGCAGCTCACCTGAAACTACATCCTCTTCTAGCATTGGGTGTCTTGGTTTTTGCGGAGCACGCCCTGGGGGTGTGGGGATTGATTGCAGCAGTGCCAATGGCTGTGTTTTTCATCGAGTACGTCATCAAGAGAAATTCATGCTACCAAGACAATGTCTAATCCATTTGTCTATAATAACAATAGAATTACTCAGCAAATAGTATGTTCAACCTTACTTTTATATTAGTGGAAATATACATATAAGTAAGTACTTATATTAGTTAATAACTATAACCAATAAGGTTTAGATTAATATAAAAACTATAATTATGGAGTGGGTTTTAATCATATTATTGATGATTTTAAAAAAATTATGTTTTATGTCTAAATATATATTTATATTTTTGTGTTAAATTGTGGTTGTGAAGTCCAAGTGTATGGATATAATGGATTTTGATAGCTATTGGATTAATTTCGATAGCTATTAGATTAGTTTCAATTTGGACTATTTGCTTATGTATATAAGGTTTTTATGCTAATTGATATGCATATTTCTAGATTCCATTTCTACATTTCATACCTTCACATTAGTGAAATTTTGATTATCCCTTAGGAGTGCTTGGATTTGGGATTTTGGTTTAAATCTAGCTTTTACATTGTCTAGATCTCCTTTTCTTTATAGTTTTTTTAATATTTTCTTTTTTGCATTTAATATAATTGTGCTGTAATCAATCTAGAAGTCAAAAGCTTGGCTCAACATAATGATTAAAGCTCAAACTTAAAATTACGCACACATATAACAAGGTTTGTTTCATCCTTGCCAAAAATAAGGATGTACAGCCATTGCCATAAAGAATGAAAATTAACTCTACCACATAACACAAATATATATAGTTACATGTGGCAAGAGGTTGACTAATAGAAGATAAACTCAAGCTTATATCAATTAATATAGAGAAAATAATAGAAAACCTCTTATTATAAGACAAGGTTAGAAAGTAAACATTGGATGAGCTAATGCTAAATGAACCCTTTGATGATACTCTTGAAAGAAAGATGAATAAATCATTGACTTATTCACGCAAAATCCCTCCATAACTAATATGACTCCTCATTTCCTAATAAAATCTTGGTGTTTAGTCTTTCCAACACAACAACACCAATAATATGTTGTTGATGCTAAGGTTTTCATTTGAGAAATAGAGGTCACCAATCCAAAAAACACCAACAATGCCAATAAGTGTGACTAACTTTATCACATACCCAATAGTAGACATCAAAACCAAGTTTTTATATAAATATAAATATAAATATAAAAACAAATTGCCCTTAACAAAGATAATGCAATTGTTGGAATGCATCATCATAATCTTCAATATATCCAAATACAAGTTTGAAGGCATCTAAAAGAATGCTCCAATCTGTACAAATGGCTATGCTCAAACCATTATACCACTGTAGTGTTGTCCCTTATAAACATGCAAAAAACTAATGGAAATGTTGAGCATCATTCTAAAAATGATATGTGGCAATCATTATAAAGTGATTAAACCAATTGTTTAATTGCAATCGTATAGCATCAAGCAACTATATCAACTACTACTCTAGAGTCAAAAGAGGAAGAAGCTACTGCTCTGCCATAAAGATATTGTTTCATATTTTTTCATATTTTTTCCATTCCTCTCATTTTTATTCTTCTTCATTCTTCTAGTTTTACTTTTGTTTTTTTCACTTTTGTCTCCCCATTACTCCCTCTTATACTTCTATCTTGTTTTTCTATTCCCTTTTCAAATCGGCAATAGTTTTTATATTGCAATGGTTGGCCAACTCATAAAGGAGTATGTTGATTTTCTTGAATTTAACATGTCGTTTAGGACCAAGATTGCAACACACTAGGGATGTTCATCCAATCAAGATTTTTATTTATTGTCGGTCGTCAAAGGATATCAAAATTTTATGTGCAAACATGAGAGAGATGTTAAAAAAGGGTATTATTCAAAAGTTATAGAATCTTTGGGCATGTGAACCTTATCTTGTCACGAAGCTTGATGAGAGTATTTATTTCTGCATTGATTATCGACCGTTAAACAACATAACTATCTTGGATATGTATCCTCTTCCTTACACTATTGATTTTTTGGATTTTTTGGGGAGAAGTTATTAATTCACCAAGTTAAATTTTGCTTTTGAGTAATAGTAAGTGCCAATGGCTAAAATGATGTTCCTAAGATTGTTTTTTATAAACCATTTGATTTATATGAATTCTTGGTAATGCTGTTTAGTTTGTATAATGCTTTAGTGACTTTCTAGTGGATAATAGATGAGGTTTTGTTTGATATGCTGAAGGTGACTGTTGACTTCATTGATGATGTCTTGATCCAATCAAAAAGGACATAAAAGGAGCACATCTGTGATGTTCAGAAGGTGTTGAATTGGTTGCGGAAAGTTGGTTTAAAACTTAAAATAAGTGTTTGATTCAAAAACATGACTTATCTTGAGTACCATATTTCTCATGAAGGTTTGTAAATTGATTATGACAAACTTATGGCTATTCAAAAGTTCCCTACTCTGAAGTGTGTAAATAATATATAACACTTCTTGAGCAATGTGCAATATCTTAGTCATTTTGTTGATCATCTTTTTTATCACATTATACCGTTGTAAGTGTTGTTGAAGTTATCAACGTCATCTTTCATTTGGTTTGAGGACTACAAATATACATTTACAGATCTCAAATAGCTGTTAATAACTATTCTAGTGTCTTTCTCCCCTTAAAACAACTGAAAAAGGGGCAATTGTTTGATGAGAGAGCCCTTAATGGCTATTTTATCCCCATTTATCCCCTAAGATTTTAAGGATCATGGTGACAGTATATCCAAATTTCATCCCATAATCACATGCATTACATTTAATTTTAGTGTATCTTGATTACACTTTACCTTTCATTTTGCATGTGAATGCTTCAGATATCAATTTTAGGGTGTTTTAATGTAGAAAAGTATGAATGAGCCTAGCTAGCATCATTCTATTGCATACATTAATTATATATTACAACTAGTAAAAGTGAACTACTCCACAATAAAGGAGTGTTTAACAATAATTTAGGGTTTTGAGAAACTTCATGTGTATTTGTATGGTTCTTGAACATTGTTAAAAGGTGATTATGTTATGGTTACTTTATTATTGAAGCAGAAAAATTTAATTGGTTGTATTGCTCAGTAAGCTTTAAAGTTTCAAACATATAATTTTGAGGTTATTCATCACCCATAGAATTTTATAGCTAATATTAATCCCCTTTCTTGAGCTCCTCTTTCTTCTTCTCTCTCTTCTTTTGTTCTTGATAAGCCTATTGTTCTAGCATCTGTGGAGTTTTTGAATGAGGATTATGTACCATCGGCAGTTGCTGTATTTGATATTTAATGTTTACAAGATGCAAAATAAGATTTACCTTCTCTTGACAAGGTTCATAAGGATTAAAAAGTTGAGTCATGGATCCAAAGGCTTGAAAATTTTGCATCATTTGCTAATGATTTGCCATTTTAGTATTTACATTTTCAATATTGCCTTAAGGACAATCTACTTTATTTTATTATGACTGATCTTGATGATCATTTATAGCTGATGGTACCTTCAATATTTATTCTACACTTTTTCCATACTTATGACTCTCCTATTTTAGGCGGATATATGGGACATTGATATGTGACTAAAAAGCTAAGTAAGTCTTTTTATTGCCTGGAAATGCAACATAATGTTATTTAATATATGCATAGTTTTGTTTGGTGCCAAACCCATAATACTCCCTTTTTTTGTTACGGAAAGATGATTAAAGTTAATTGCAATTTCTCATCTATATGAGTTGGTAGCATTTGATTTGATGGGGCTTTTTCCATGGCAATAAGTATGTCATTATTGGATTTAACTACTTAACTTACTAGGTGGAAGTTGGTGCTCTTTCTAATGCATCAGTAACTACTATTAAATATTTTTTCTTTAATCAAATGATGTTCTAATATTTTTGTCCAGAGTGTATTCTCTTGGATAATGGTCCTATTATCGCTAAGGCATTTCATGTTTTAACATCTTGGCTGGGCATATGCCACACTTTCACAAATGTTTATCATCCACAAACGAATGGTTTGGTGGAACAACTCGTCTAGACCTTCAAAGGGAATGTGAACTTTCAACATTCAAATTGATATAGTTATTTGCTGTCTCTTCAGTATGCGTATATCATAGGGTATAGAGTTCTATTAGTGTTTCACTATATAAACTTCTATATAGTCATAATCCAATATTACCAATGGAGTTGAGTTTACTTTCGCAATTGCTATAATCTATTGATGCTAAGTCCTAGGATCAGTATTTGACGAGCATTCTTTCACTTGTCCAAATAGAGTTTGCTAAACATTTAAGCCCTGTACAAGTGGAACAATTGCATTATAACTCCCATTATCATCTACTTATGGAGTATAAAGTGGATGATTTGGTGTTAACCTATTTTTCCAATTTTACGGTATATGGTTTATTTAAGGGGTGTAAGCGACTAAATTTTTCCATTCTACTTTAGTCATTTAACCACACCTCTGACCACTTGGAGGAGTCTCACTCACAACCTCCATAAGTCCTATTTTAGGCTTGGGCTTGTTAGCCCCGAGAATGGCATCCCCGCCACTCAACCTTTGCACATGGTCCAAGTGCTCCACGTGTCCGATCTCATGATCGACACCCCAAAGTACCACCGACATACTGGCCCATTATGTTAAGGCCATGCCTATTCACCTTGGTCACACTGGTGGTCCAACACCACCTGCATCGCCGTCCCGTCTCTCAAAGACTAGGCCATCCGTCCATGAGTGACCATCCTAGGTCCACTCCTTAGCATCCTTAAGATGCCCGTAGACATGGGGAACAGCCTTCCCCAATATCCCTTTAACAGTCCCCACCAAGATCCTTTTTTATCCATGGCCATGTTCACCAACACTGCCACTGGATCAAGGCCCACAGGCCCGACCACCAAGTCCCACTGTCCTCTGGGACTTCCTCACCATATGACCGTGTCATTGGTCACCACACCCGAGGATCACTACTCTTCCTTTCCATAGCCTGGGACTTTGGGACAGCATTTTGGAACACTATGGCCTTACGCGGGCCTCCTGGGTACTCTCCCCGCCTTCTGCTTTTGGGTGCTCTAGCCATGGGCTTAGAGCGAGGTTCCGTTAAGACATGCCTAGTATCCAAGTAAGTAGTGCCACCCACACTTGGACTGGGAGCATTAGCCAGTCAATCTCCCGGGGGAACTAAAGCCGGCTCTTGAACACTTCACCAAGCTACCTTGCTTGTCGGTCTGTATTCACTCTAGTCTTGGACTTCACAATGGTCAATTCATCACCCAACACTGGGTATGGCCTTCCTGGGCCAAACTGGCCTTCCTGGGCCAAACTGGCCTTTCCTGGGCCAAACTGGCCTTTCCTGGCCAAACTGGCTCCACTGGGCTCCAACCCCCACACTCTCCCTACTATACTTTTGGAACCCCCCGCAGCCCCCCCTCCCCCGGGGGACGATCGCTTTGGGCTTTCACCCAATTGCCTATATTAGTATTCAGACTCGGACTTAGACTCGGTCTCAGTCCCGGTTTCGGACTAGGACTCGGTCTCGGTCTCGGTCTCGGTCTCAATTTCATCTCGGACTCCATCTCAGGTCCATCTCGGACTCCATCTCAGGTCCATCTCAGACTCCATCTCGGGTCCATCTCGGACTCCATCTTGGACTCCATCTCGGATCCATCTCGGACTCCATCTCGAGTCCATCTCGAACTCCATCTCAGGTCCATCTCGAACTCCATCTCGGGTCCATCTCGGACTCCATCTTGGACTCCATTTCGGGTCCATCTCGGACACTTCCACGTGTCATGTGTTGGCCCTTTCTGGGTCCCCTTTTGGAGCCTTGCTTATTGGTTGCCTCGTGCTCGCTCCTCGAGCACTTTTCCACTCCCGCTCTCGACCTTCCAAGTCGGAGTTTTTAGTCTAAACATGTTCTGCTCATTTGGCCACTACCACGTGGCACCCTTTCCGGCTCCACTTTGGGGCCTTGGGATTTTGTGTCTCACAAGGGGCTTCTTGATTAATTGAAGGGACCATATTAACAAGCATTATCATCTATCTATAAAATATAAAGTGGACAACTTAATGTTAGATTATTTTCCCAATTTTACAGTATATGGTTTATTTAAAGGGTTTTTTGCTCAATGGAAGGGACCGTATTGGGTGTTGCAACAAATTGAACTACAAGTTTATGAGGTTTGGTATGACATTTAACAGGTTAATCCTCCAAAATTTATGCATATGCAACAATTAAAATACTTTGTACAAATGAATCACAAACAATTAGTACCACCTATAGATCCATCAGTGTCTTTTCTTAATGTTCATTTAAATCCCAAGCCATCAATTAAAGAACCTTAATTGCCTTTCATTCTTCCAGGAGAGGATGATATAAGGTTCAATGCGATATATTAATTTCAATTTGGACCAATAACTTTTATATATAAATTAGGTTTTTTGGTTAATTTATTTGTACATTTTTGTATTCCCTTTCTAACACACTCACAAAACTAAATGTTTGAAACAATTAAATGTTAAAGTTTAATTATCTATTTTAGGGTTATCAAATCAGTCCAAATTACAAATTGATGCGAATATACCGTCCAGTAAAACCTAGGTGAGGCTGTGCTCCGCCGTCAGCCCCGGCGAGGGGGGCCTTGGATTCGCGTCTCGCCATCAGTTTCCAATCCATTCCTCGAGGTAGTAGCAGCAGAAATCTAGAAATCTAGGCAGTAGAATCAGGGAAAGGGGAGAGATATGGCGCAGGAAACCTCGCCGCCTCGCTCGCCCTTCGCGTCGACGGCTCTCTACGTGGGAGACTTGGATCCCAGTGTCAACGAAGCTCAGATCTTCGACATTTTCAAGCAAATCGGGAATGTCATGTCTGTGAGGCTGTGCCGCGACATGGTTACCAAGCGCTCTCTGGGATATGCCTATGTCAATTACAACAACACCCAAGACGGTGAGGCTTCTTTCTTGCGTTTTCTTTTGTTTCTCTTGTGATTGAATTCTCTTGTCTACCAGCTTCTCGAGCGATAGAGGAGCTGAATTTCATGCCGGTCAATGGGAAGCCTGTGAGGATAATGTTCTCATATCGTGATCCCAGTATTCGCAAAAGTGGCTCCGGGAACTTGTTCGTCAAGGTATGTTCTCTCTTTTTTCTGTTAGAAAAAGAGCTGGACTGATTCTAGTCCTTTTTCTCTTGCAGAATTTGGATAAGAGCATCGACAACAAGGCTCTCCATGATCTGTTTTCACCTTACGGCAAGATTCTCTCGTGCAAGATCGCCCTCGATGTATCCAACGTCTCCAAAGGTCATGGGTTCGTCCAGTTTGACACCGAAGACGCCGCTCACACGGCGATTGAGAAGATCAATGGTACAACTTTACACGACAAGCAGCTCTTTGTGGGACCTTTTGTTCGTCGACAGGAAAGAGACCCCCCGGCTTCCAAGTTCAACAACGTTTTCGTGAAGAACCTGTCCGAGATCACTACCGACGAGGACCTCCAGAAGCTTTTCGGGGTCTTTGGTCCCATTAGTAGTGCGGTGGTGATGAAGGAGGTGGATGGCAAGTCAAAGTGTTTCGGCTTTGTCAACTTTGAGAACCCCGAGGACGCTGTTAAGGCTGTGGAAGATCTGCACGGGACAACCTTCCAGGACAAGGAGCTGTACGTTAGCCGTGCACAGAAGAAGAACGAGAGGGAGGCGGAGCTGAAAGCCAAGTTCGAGCACGAGCGGAAAGACACCGAGGACAAGTCACCGACGAATTTGTATCTCAAGAACTTGGACGACGGCATAGACGATGAGAAGCTCAAAGACATGTTCTCGGCGTTTGGAAACGTGACTTCGTGCAAGGTAATGAGGGACCCTCTCGGCCACAGCAAAGGCTCCGGGTTCGTTGCCTTCAGTACCTCCGACGCGGCACTCCGAGCAGTAAGTAAACCAGTACGCCGGACGGCGTCACTCACGATTACTCTTTTGTCTCGCAGGTGGCTCAAATGAACGGGAAGATGATTGGAAGCAAGCCTCTTTACGTTGCCATGGCACAGAAGAAAGAAGAGAGGAAAGCCAAACTAGAGGTAGCCCATAGTACAATCGCCACTCTTTTCCTCCTACTGATTCTTGTGTGATTCTTCTCTTCCCAGGCGCAGTTTGCCTCACGAGGCCCCGTCAACTTTCCTCCACCGCCGCTCTATTCCGCAGTTGGACAACAGCTTCTTTACAGCCGGCCAGCACCAATGGTTCCTCAACAGGTAAGCCACTTGATCCAGTTTTTGGCTTCTCCACACATCGTCGCATCAGCCTGCAGGTTTTGCAATGGTGAGGCCCAATGTTGGACAGATGCCCGGTTTCTTTCCTCCTCAAAGGCAGCAGGGTCACGCAAGGGTCCCGTTCCAGCAGGTCTGTGTGTCGCTCTCACTCTGTGTTGTTGATCCAACTTCGTTCTGTGATCTAGTTTATGCAACGGGAAAGCACCTTCCACGGTAGCAACTCTAGGACGCCTGCGTATGGAAACAACTCGTTCTTGGCGGTCTTGGCGTCTCATTTGGCATCCGCGACGCCGGAGCAGCAACGCATAGTGAGTGCAAAGTGGAAGTACCGATTCATGTGACGATCTTTTCTCATTTTCTTTGCAGATGTTGGGCGAGCAGCTGTATCCACTGGTTGACTGCATAGAGCACAACCACGCCGGGAAGATCACGGGCATGCTCCTGGAGATGGACCAAACCGAGGTACTTCACTTGCTCGAGTCTCCCGAAGCTCTCAATCTCAAGGTTTCCGAGGCCATGGAGGTGCTGAGAGACTCGCAACAGAGGCTCATCCCGCCGGATCTTGCATCACTCTCGTTAGATGATCCGCTGATGTCGTGATCCCGGTTTCATAAATCAAAGTTTTGATCGTTCGGCATCGCCAAGCAAACGAGAATCACCGAGCGTTAAGTCGGTGGAATTCCCACTAGACAAAGAGAAGGAATAATGACTTCCACCATCTCTACTTGGATAAAAAGCCATGGGAATCACAAACATCCACCATGGCGAATAGTAGTTTTCTCATCCTGTTCTTGGCTTGCTTGCTCGTCTTGTTGGTGTTAGCTCCAGGGATGGCGGAGGATGACTACAAGAAAAGCTCCAGAGGTCCTTCAACGAGTAGCTCTCACTCCCATGTCTCTGGCCGCCATGGGTCTGGAAGTGGCTATGGATTTGGATCTGGTTCCGGCCAAGACGCGAGAAGCGGGAGTGGAAGCTATGCTTCGTCTGGCTCGCACAAACACAAGTCATCCTCCAGTAATCACCACCACGGTGGTGGCAAAAGTGGAGGTGGTGGTGGTGGATTTGGGTCTGGTTCTGGCGCTGGATCTTCTGGATCAGGATATGGCTATGGCTATGGGAGTGGCTCTGGAGGTGGCTCTGGATATGGTTATGGCTATGGATCTGGAAGCTCGGGTCCTGGTCACAAACATTAAAACGTGATCACTTTATAGTACCAAGTAGAAGCACTAATGACTAAAATATAGCTACTTTTGATTCCAATATAAAAGTTCCTGATGTTTCTATCACAGCAACTACCGTTAATTGTCAAGACATCATAGAACATTTGACTTGAAACTTTACTTTGTGCGTGTTAATCATATGTCAAGCTGGACTTTTTCTTTCTTTATATTCTTTTCATAGTGGGCTTAATGGTGGCTACGAAAAGTCTTTGCAAATCGAAATAAATTCCCAGCTTGCGAGCCTGGAAATGTGCCAATCCAAAATGGCATCCAGTAGCACTAGCAAGAGCCTTATCAAGTTTGGTGGAGTTGCTTGCATCTTGCTTCTCTTTGCACTCTTCTGCATTGTGGATGCCCGGGACAAATCTCTTGAGGTCACAAAAAATGAAAGTCTTGGAAAACTTAAGAAAGGCAATGGGTTAAAACATAATGCTGGTGAAGGAAGGGGCTCTGGAACTGGTTTGGGAAGTGGAACTGGTGTAGGAACTGGACGTGGTTCAGGTTCCGGAAGTGGCTTTGGAAGTGGTAGTGGGAGCGGGACAGGCACTGGACGTGGTTCGGGTTCTGGAAGTGGCTTCGGAAGTGGAACTGGAAGCGGGACAGGCACTGGATATGGTTCAGGTTCCGGAAGTGGCTTTGGAAGTGGAACAGGTTCCGGAAGTGGCTTTGGAAGTGGAACTGGGAGTGGCATTGGACGTGGTTCGGGTTCTGGAAGTGGCTACGGAAGTGGTACGGGGAGTGGCACAGGGAGTGGGACAGGCGTTGGACGTGGTTCGGGTTCTGGAAGTGGCTACGGAAGTGGAACGGGGAGTGGGACAGGCACGGGACGTGGTTCAGGCTCAGGAAGCGGACATGGTTCTGGTTCGGGGAGTGGCTATGGAAGTGGAACTGGACGTGGATCTGGTTCAGGAAGTGGTAGTGGGAGTGGTTCTGGTTCGGGAAGTGGCTTTGGAAGTGGTTCGGGGAGTGGGAGTGGGTTCGGAAGTGGTTCCGGGTCTGGGAGTGGCTTTGGTTCAGGTTCGGGATCTGGCTCGGGTAGTGGAAGTGGTTATGGCTCAGGCTCAGGGAGCGGATTTGGAAGCGGAAGCGGAAGCGGATCCGGAAATGGCGGTGAAAATGTGAAAGTCGGGATGGTAAAAGTGTGAACTTGAAGTGCTAAATGCACAAAAATGATAGATAAGTCGAGTCCTATGATAAAATCCATTGTCCTTGCATACATACCTGGACAAGATCTAAAAACTAAACCAATTACAGTGTGATTTTACTTACTGCTTGCTTTTCATTCTCGTGCACGCAATGCCTCAGCCATGGAGGATCGCTGGCGGCTTGGATCTTTTGGCGCAGTTTGTACGCGCTTGCAATTATAGGACGCACGTCCTCTGCGCTGGCCAGAGACTCGAGAAACGGCAAAAGTGATGCAAGCGCGCAGTCGGCTTCATCGTCAAACCAGCTCTCGATCGGAATGCCATTGTCTACTTGGAAACCGAATGCCTGCAAGCAAAGAAGCAAGCGAGAAAACGTTGAGCAAAGTAAAAGCTTTGAGAAAGGAAAGAGGAAGAAGTAAACCCGGGCCATACCTGTGGAGAGTTGTCTACGATGACGGTCTTGGAGAGATCGCGGCCAAGAACACTCAAGTCCTTGAGGTAGTTCCCGTCGACGAGAACACACGAGTCCCGGAAGATCCTGTGCCGGAAAACCTTCCGCTTGGGGTCGAGGATGTTGAGCAGCTTCTCCGCGTACGTGCTCTGGCTCGCCGTGAAAACGATGATCTCAAAGAGTTGGGCGACTCTCTCCATAAACATTTGGAGGTGAGGCCTGCGACGGACGTAGACGGTCTGGCGTTGGAAGTTGGCATGCAACGAGAAGCTAAAGTCGGCGTTTCCACAGTGATCCGTTGTCGAGTGTACGAGGGTCTCTGCCAAAACAAGGAAATCTATGAGAAAAAAATTGGAAAAGAGCTTCTTTTTCCGCTTACCATCGAGGTCAAGAACTAAGGCAACTGGAGGGCAGCGTCTCGTCCGACGAGGGAGTAAGAACTTCCGGCATGGCGAGAGAACCAGGGAGGGATCTGGCAGATGCTTGATGAACAAGTAAGGATCGAAATCACGCAAGAGTTCACGAGCCTTGTCGTCGTGATTGCTCCTGGCGGCTTCAATGACCACTGTGGTTTCCCGAGAGTGATTGTTAGCTAGCGCGAGGAAACTGAGCGATACATACCTGTGGTGGCGGTGCTGCTCGAAGACGAGAAGCACTCTCCACCGATTCCTTTAAACAGGTGAAGAACAGGAGAGAAGATGGTTTCCATTAGGGAGTGCCGCTCCTCTTGTGGCGGCTAAAAGGGAGAAACAAACTTAAGTCAAGGAGAGAAAGGAAAATCTCTCACCTGGCACTCCAAATCTACAAACAGTGTGTCGCGATCCTCGCGAGCTTTGCCTCCAGAGACGCGCTTGCGAGCTGGTGACAAATAGATCCCTGCCAAGGGCCAAGGGCTAGCGCTGTGAGCCAGCCACAAGAGATCAAAGAAATCTAGCTTGATCACTCACCCTCGGCCTTGCGCTTGCTCCTGGTGAACGAGCTGATGGGGGCGGCATCCTCCTCCTCCTCGAGCTTTGGCATGGCGATCCAATGTGAGTGAAAGAGAGGGAGAGAGAGAGGAGGGAAAGAGCTAGAAGCTGCCATCGCTCATATTTTGAAATGCCTAAACGGTCATAATGACCTAACCTAAAAGGGCAGCTTCCATTAAATAGCGCGTTATTTTATGTTACCATTGAGTGAGATTCTTCTCACATCTACATCAATAAAGCGATAATCTTGCTTAATCCAGGAACTCTTTCTTCTTGTCCGAGAGGAGGAGCGCAACTCTATCGTGGTTTTGGATCATCGCCTTGTGGAGAGGAGTGTGGCCGTCGGAATCCACCGCGTCTCGATCGGCTCCACTCTCGAGCAGCAGCGCAACAATGTCTTCGTGACCAGCGAATGCCGCGCGATGGAGGCTCGTCGCTCTGCCGGACCTCGTCCGAGCATCCACGCCTGCTCCAAACTGTCCAACACCAAAGATCAAACAAAGCTTGAACGAAAGAAAGAAAAGCTAAGCGCTCACTCTACCTTGAGTAGCAGCCGGCAAGCTTCCAGATGACCATTCCGCGCGGCGTAGTGTAGTGGCGAGTACGCTGCCGCTGCTCCACCTTGCACACAGGCTCCCTTCTCGAGCAACCGCTCCATTCTCTTTACATCGCCAGTGTGCGCGGCACCCGACAAGCTCCTCGCGAATTCCATCTCTTCCAGTGACTCCACTGCTGCCGTGCCGCGGCAGCAGTCACAGCTATGGCCACCACCCTCCTCCATCCTCCACGAGAAGAAAAAAGCCTCCTGGAATGCCCTAGCAAGCGAGCGCTCGTCATATCCCCAGGAGCATGGTTTGCATCTGTTCCGGACTGTGCCGCAGGATCGACCTGTACTCCGGAGAAGCGTCGTAGATGAGCTTGTAGGCGCTGGCGAGTTCCTTGGCTACACGAACGCAAGCCTCGTTTCTCAGCCGCGCGTCTTGCACCTGTCCAAACTCCGCCACTGCCCCCTCGCCAACCAGTCTGAGGAAGATCTTGAGGCTTTCTGCTACGTTGGAGGGAGCCATCTCTTGTTCGTTTGCCGTTGCTCCGCCATCGCCCATCTCGGGGTTTGCTTTCAAGTACGCTACTTTGCTGCGGAGGTTGCACTTCTCGAGGATGGTGGCGACTTCGTGCTCCACGATGTAGCTCATGTACTCCTCGAGGGAAGATTCCAACGACTCTACGTAGCCCGATGCTGCTGGGTACGAGAGCAGTGGCTGTCGGATGACGGACACACAGTTTATGAGGAAGATCTTGCGAAGGCTCGGTACATCCTGCAGATTCTTTGGTTACGGATCCATCGAAAGACATGCTGGATAAGTTACCTCCTCGGTCTGTGACTTGGATGGTGAAACACCAGCCGGATCGGTAGAAGTGGTCCGTCGAGCAGCATTGAGTAGAGCCTTTCCCGTGTCCAAGTTTAGACTGTTTAGTCGTTTAACTGGCTGGTGTGAAGGTTTGGAAGCGTAAGATGCTGCAGCTCGCTCACACATCTGGAGAGAAAAGCACGTAAGACGAGACCAAATCTGCAACGTAGAGAAGAAGTTACCGTAATGATTGGATCAACGAGAGCTGCAATGACTGGTTTGAAATCGGGCTTGCTGGCACCAACAGCGACCATCATGCTGTTGTGAGTATCAATCAAGTCAACCAGCACTGGAACAACTTCCGCAAGCGCTGGCGGCGGAGAGAGATCAGCAGATACTGGAGGGGGATAGCGCAGAAGCTTGTCACCACGGCTCTTCAAAATATCAAAAAACGTCCGATCGGCGGCCTCTTTCACGTCCCTCAAAGTAGCTGACAAAGCAGCCTCTTTCCCAAGTAAATCAGAAATCTGTAACAAAATCTTCGTTGCCCGACCCCGGCAAAAACAACTGTGACAAAGCTTACCATGTGACTGTAAAAGCCGAGGAGATTGCACAGCTTATACGAAAGGATAAGGCTGGGTTGCGATTGTAAGACTTGCTCCACTCGCACCTTAAAGGGTCGACAAACGCCTTCAAAGATGCGGTCCAGAACAAATAGCAAATGGGACGCCGACTCATCGGATTCCTTCGACGACCAGTCTCCAGTACTTGCAGGAGCATCTGGACAGAAAAGTGACATTGCTAGTTCACGCTCCGAGGCTAAGGCCTACATGAATACATACAAGTCTTACGTACTTGAGAAAGGTATATGAAGATTACACGGACCTGATGTAGCCAGCCCAACATGTCCCCAACGTATCGGAGCGGATCATGTGCGTGTACTTCAATGGGCCGGGGCATACCACCTGGACCTCCGCGTGTGAGAGCGCTGATGAAGCGCCTAAAGAGCGCATTGTGCCGCGTGTTTGCCACCTGAGGCAAAACGCAAATTACAGTCACCTTCCATACAGAGAAAGAAATGGCCATTACCTCCTCAGCGCAGTACTTGAACAGAACCGGACGTTCGTTCAAAAATCTGGAGGCTGTCTTGAGAAGCTCGCTAACCTCCGGATGATCATTGTCACTGAGGTTACGGCATTCAGCTTGGACCCATCTGAAAAGAAAACCAAGGCGATCACTATTTCCAGATCCGATAACAAACGTTAAAAGCACCTGCATAGACGCTCGAATGCGCCCTCTTGGTAAACTGCCATCATATCCATAAGCTCCAACCCTGCGCGCTATGAACAAGAAAAATTCGTCATGACACCAAACTCGGTCAGATAGAAATAGTTAGTTACCTGGTGGTGAGTTCGGACCAAAAGCTTGCAATTGGCATGGATCTTTTGTACGCGTGACAAGGCTTTGAAGAAGTTTTGGTTGAGTTCCTCCTCTCTCAGAGCATACACCTGAGTAAAAGAGAAGCACAGGTAATAGGGAAGGAGGTAATCTTTTCTTCTAGTATGTTTGTTGGTCCTTACCTCCTCTGGGGATAGTTGGTAGTTGTGAAGAAACGAGGCAACGATCTCCTGGTGCTGTTTCGTGTTGTCAAGATCCAATCTAAGCTTCTCAGTGGTGGCGACAATATCCCCTGTCACCGCTTCACAGCTACTCAGAGATTTCGCAATTCTGGAAGCCAGATCGCTCCACATTACGGATAGATCGCACACAGGAGAAATGTACCTTACCTCTCGCACGACTCCGCAAGCCCCGCAACTTCAAGCTCGACAGCATCCAAGGCCTGCCAGAGATCCACGCCAATGAGCTCCAAAACGCCTAGATCCACCGAAATACTCACCTTCTGTGCCGCTTCCGACGCCCGCAGGAACTCCTCGTTGATGGAAAGCCCCCGCTTCTCGATCGTCGCCTGGAGATTCCGGCGCGCTTGAGCCGAATTCTCCGCGTAGAATGTGGAGAGCGTGCCGAGCGAGGCGAGCACATCCGGGGAATCGGTGCGCGTCTCCAGGACCTTCTTGAGCTTCCTGGCGAGGCCGGGCGCCAGAGCCGTGGCTGCTGCCATGGACGCAACCTCGCAAAAGCCCTAGCTTAGAGCTGGCTAGGTCGGAATCGAACCGGGGTCTCTCCCTTCTTTTTTTCTCCTCCCCTGTGCACTACAGGATGTGACGGCTGTGTAGAAATTCTTTTATTGTTTGTTTTGATTGCTTGTTGTTGGCTATGGCGACCGCGAGCAAAGCCTACTAAGCAGTGAGCGAGCGGCGCCAGGCCGGCCAGGGTTTCCTCCTCCCAGGTTCTAGGCTAGAAGAGAACAACAGGTCGTCCGATCGAGATATCGCGTCGACATCGCGCGAGCTCGCGGCGATCCAGCGCTTTGCGCGGCGGCGTGCAGCGGCGACGCCAGGGAATTGAATCCTCGCCCCGCGCAGATCTAGCGCGGCGCGGATCTGCCAGGCCCGGTGAGTCGAAATTTCTTGAGCTGGGGTTTTGGTGTAGAGCGAGCGGCCTAGGCGCGGATTATCCGAATTCCTTGTCCGGCAAGCTCGGGCGGCGTGATCGCGCACGGCTTTTGGGGGATCAGATGGTGTGATGGGGCGATTTGCCAAGTAGAGGAGGAGGAAAAGGGAAGACGAAGAAGAATGAATGAGGAGCGGCGATGAGATGAGGCATGCTGGCGTGGTTAGCCAAGACTGTGGCGGCATGCTGGCACCCAGTGGAGCGCTATACTCATGGAAGTTCGTCAATGACTGATCGCAATGACGCGCTTCTATGGTACCGGGATTTGGGGCAGCATGCGTTTGGGGAGTTTTCCATCGCAGTGGTGCAGGCAAACGCGCTGCTCGAGGACCAGAGCCAGATCGAGACGGGGCCTTACGGAACTTTTATCGGAGTTTATGATGGTCACGGAGGTCCTGAGGCCGCGCGCTACGTCAACGAGCATCTCTTCAAGAACTTCCAGAGTAAGTGATCGCGATCGATGCTTCTTCTCTCTTGGTTTGCTTTTCTCATCTCGCTTAGCAGTAACTTAAGCTCGTTTCCATCGTACTCACAGATCCGTGTGCTTTTTTTCTTCTTTTTTCTTCTTGCAGAGATTGTCCGAGACCAACAAGGGGTCATGTCCATCGACGTGTTGCGGAAGGCATTTTTGGCGACCGAGGAAGGATTTCTAAACCATGTCGCGGGCTTGTGGGACGTGAAGCCGCAGACCGCCGGCGTTGGGACGTGCTGCCTGGTGGGAGTTCTGTGGGGAGGAATGCTCTACGTTGCCAACGTTGGCGACTCTCGAGCAGTGATTGGAACGTCGCGCAGTAGAAGCAGCCACGCGGAGGTGGGCGCTGGCCAGCTTTCCGTGGAACACAATGCAAGCTCCGAGGCCATACGACACGAGCTCAAGTCCATGCACCCCGATGACCCTCAGATCGTCATGCTCAAGCACGGAGTTTGGCGAGTCAAGGGAATCATCCAGGTACTATCTCTCAAGTCTTCAAGCTCGTTTTTTCTTCCCTGTTCCCTGCCAACCAGTGGAAGTGGATTTGCAGGTGTCGAGATCCATCGGCGACTTCTACCTCAAGAAGCAAGAGTATAACCGGGAGCCTTTGAATCCTCGCCTCCGCCTCAGCGAGCCTCTGCGTCGGCCCGTGCTGACCGCGGAGCCATCGGTGAATGTCCACGTCGTCCAGTCCATGGATCGTTTCCTGATCTTCGCGTCCGACGGGCTGTGGGAACATCTGAGCAACCAGGAGGCCGTGGACATTGTCCAAAACCATCCTCGCTCGGTAAGTTGTTCGCTAAGATTGTCCTAGCTAGTGACGAGCACTGTTTTGCTGCAAGCAGGGAATCGCGAGACGACTGATCAAAGCCGCGTTACAGGAGGCGGCCAGAAAGCGTGAAATGCGATACTCAGACCTGAAGAAGATCGACAGAGGGATCCGGAGGCATTTTCACGACGACATAACCGTGGTGGTGATCTTCCTGGATCACGACTTGATCAGCAGAGGGGCGAGCATTAGTCCCATGTCAATAAGAGGCGGTGTGGATACTCTGGAAGCGGTGGGCAGCACTGAGAGAGTTGCCTCGAGGATGTAATTTACTCTGGTCTGGACATTTTTGTAGTGATGGATCATTAACTGGTTCGCCACTTTGATACTTGGAAATGAATTCAATCCAAAAAGCTTCGTCTTTCCTCTCGCTAAAACGGCCATTTGGTATCCTCCGCAGCTGAAACAACGCTCGAGTTTGAGAGACGCAAGAACAAAATAAAAAGAAAAAGATGTTCTTACTCCTGTATTCGATCTTCTTATCCGAGGTGGGATGACGAACGTTTTCTCTGATGGCGGCCTGCAAAACACGATCACGCGATCACGATCACGATCATATCAAAGTTAATTGCAAAAAAGAACAAACCTGGATTTCTTCCATGGAGAATGGTTTCCTGGACCAATGCGAAAGAAGACCACATGAGAAGCGAAGAACAAACGATGCTCACTTTGTTTCTTACCTCTCAAGTTGCCCGCTCTTGGGCTTCTTCCTCTTCTTGGCCAGAGGCTCGTCAAAGAAGTAGTCCTCCACTCGGCGAACAACGTTTGGCTCGTCCCACACCACTTTCTCCCATTCATCCCTCGCCTTCTCGTAGACGTTCATGTAGGCCTTCCAGTAGAGGCGCTGGTCCTGTCCTGGCGAGAAATCTGTGAGGAGGAGAATGGAATCGACGCGATTACCTCTTTCTGTGGATCAATCCGGAATGTGGAGAGGTGATTGACCCTGGTATACCGCTGCTGGCCTGGAGATGGAGCTGCGTCGTCTTCCCCTTTTTTCTTGACGGTGCGAATCTCCTGGACGCTCAGCAACTCTCCCTCAACCATCCACCAATCGCTATCTTCCGGCACCGCGCTGGAGCTGCTGCTGCTGTTGCTGCTCCATCGCGCGCCCGGAGCGATCCTTGCTCGCATCGCCTGGATCCCGCGCCGGAGCAGCATTTCTTGTCCTAAAACCCTCCCCCAGGGTTTTGATATTTAGGTTATATGAATCTGGTGAACATGTTCTTTGCGTGGTAAGGAATCTTGCAATTGGGCATTTGGTCTAGTGGTATGATTCTCGCTTAGGGTGCGAGAGGTCCCGAGTTCAATTCTCGGAATGCCCCTTCCCACTTTTTATTCCAATTTTATACTTGTAATTTCAGTTTTTATTTTTTGTTCGTTTCCCGCCATTTTCTTCCCTGAAGAACCCTAGCCTAGCAAAATTTGGGGGCACAATGATCGGTGCGCCAACGGGATGCTACAAGTGTGGGCGAACCGGCCACTGGTCTCGCGATTGCACGTTCGATCCAAAGCCTGGCCTGCCGCCGCCACCGCCCCCGCCGATTTCTAGCGTGCCGCCCCCCAAATCTGGGCGGCGGAGGAAGCGAAAGCTCACACCCGAGCTTCTTTTCTCCAACGAAGGTCTTGGCTATGTCTTGGAGCACATTCCGCACAGGTTTCCCATCAAGGGGCGAGGGCACGAGGTGGGTTCTTCCATTCTTCTTTGTCTTTCTTTTTCCCATGGAATTTCTCAGGGCCGGGATTTGCATAATCTTCTGCGAGCCTATCGGCACTGGCACAGCAATTTCTTTCCCAGTCTCTCTTTCAAACGCTTCGCGCGTGAAGTGGCCAAGGTTGGAAGACTCAGGCGTGTCAAGGTATGCAAATCAGTTCTTCCTCCAGTTTTTTATCGAAGTCTCTTCTTTTTCTCGAAGAAACGTCTCAAAGAATGCCGGACGAAATTTTTCAAGGGAGTTGATGATCCCAAGGATTGTCTCAAAGGTGTGTTTTTTGTTTTTTTAATTTTTTTTCTGTTTGCTAGAAACGTCCTCTTTTTGTGTAGAGGATCTCCCTGAGCCGGACATTCCAAGCCAAGAAGCTCCAGTCCAGGATAACCAGAACTACACCCCCATCCCAATCTCCAATCCTGTGAGCAAGGATGATCCAGACTACGGTCAGAAGATGGCCCGAATGGAAGCCAATCGATTGAAAGCTTTGGAGCGCGCTCGAGCTAGAATTGCTGCTGCTGCTGCTGCCGCTGCCGCTGCCACCAAAACAAGTGAGTGGCAAACTTTCTTCCGATCATTTTTGTGTAACCATCGCTTTGCGTTTCAGCACAAACGAACGAGCAGGCTGACAATGGAATTGCGAGTTGAAGCAAGAGTAGTGTATAGGAAGTACGAAAAGAGGAATGTTCCTAGCAGCTTTTGCAGAACAGAAGCTTACAGTTTCATGCGAAGTAGTCGACGATGATGCGATCGAAGAAAAGTGTAGATGACGGTTAGAGCATGCGACACCTCCGGAGTTTGATTCGAGACAACTTTGAAATCGTCGATTCGGACAACTTGGCCTCGTTGATTCGAGCCTGTGGCGCTTCCAGAAACCTCTTCCAGGCCCAGCGCATCGACCAAGCTCTCTTGAAACGCAGGATCACTCACGGCGAAGAATTCAGGTACCTCAGCAATCTCCTGATCGAAACTTACGGAAAGTGTGGGAGTTTGAGCGATGCTTACCGGGTGTTTGCTGGTTTGCAGCACAAGAACAAGTATACGTGGTCCCTGCTCATGACGGCGTATGCCCAGAACGGGTATCTTGACGAAGCTAAGCGAGCGTTCGATGACATGCCTCTGAGGGACATATTCTCGTGGACGGTCTTGCTGCAAGCTTACGTCGATTCCAGCGCTTTGGACGACGCAAAGCTGGCGTTCGAAAGAATCCCGGGAAGAAACGTTGTTTCGTGGACGTGCATGGTGGTAGGCTATGCCCAAAGTGAGGATTTTGATCGCTGCAAGAAAACGTTTGACACCATGCCCGTGAGGAACGTCTTCTCCTGGACGGCTATGGTGGTGGCTGCCTCTCAGCACTGGAGCCTCGACAAAGCTCGCGAAACGTTCCACAAGATCCCGAGCTGGAACGCCGTCACCATGAACGCAATGGTGCAAGGATTCGCCAGGAACGGACTCCTCCGAGAGTCGAGAGAAACTTTCGACCGGATACCCGAGAAGAATGTCATCTCCTGGACGTCGATCGTCACGGCCTACAGCCAAAACGCGAGGCTCGACGAAGCAAAGGCGCTGTTCGACGACATGCCCGTCAGAAACCTCGTATCCTGGACAAGCATCGTCGCCGGATACGCTTGGAACGGACACGGCCAGAAGTCCACGGAGATGTTTCGAGCGATGGAGCTCCAGGGAGAGATCCCGGACGAGATCTCTTTCGTCAACGTTCTCACGGGGTGCTCGCACGGAGGATTGTTGAGGCGCGGATGGGTCTACTTCCAATCCATGCAGCGTGACTATAGCTTGAGTCCCGGAAAGGAGCACTACTGTTGTCTCCTGGATCTTCTCGCGCGGTCGGGACGCTTGGACGAAGCCGAGGACTTGCTGGCGAGCATGCCTTTTGCGCCGGACGAGGTGGCTTGCAAGACTGTTCTAGCGGCGTGTGGGATCTATCGCGATCTGGAGCGAGCAATTAGAGTCGCAGACGTGGTGCTGGATGACCATGCCGGAAGCAGCGACTGCTACCTTCTTCTCAGGAACATCTTCTGCGAAGTTTGAGCTTTCAATGTAGCAAGCGAAGTCTTACTTGTTTCGACCGTATTGTATAACCATCGGTTTGCCTTTCAGCACAAACGAATGAACACCAGCCTGGCAATGAAATTGTCAGTTCAAGTTAACAGTGTTGATAGCAAAAGAAAAACGAGCTCGACCACTTACCAGAGCATCTCCCGCAATCTCTGCAGAGGGAAATCGCACAAACGCTTGGCCTTTCATGCGACCTTCCTGTTAGATTTGCGAATCCAATGAGTACATAGAGCAAATCCTTGAGAAAGTTTCTTACTTGCATCAATTTCACATTCAGTCCAGCTTGTGCCTCTTCATAACTTGGAAAGAAAGCACCTGCAAAATCGATGTCAGAAAGGAACAAATTAAAAATCTGCGGGTTTCTTACCGAAAACGTAGTGGAGATCTTCAAGAACGACTTCCTTTTCGAGATTTTTTATATACAGAACAGGGGAAGGAGTTCCACGCGAGTAGTTCTGAAAATGACAAGAACACGTGAAATAACATAACGAAAGAAACATCTCACCTTAAACACGGGATGGCTGGCAACTTCTCCAAGTGAGAGCTTTCCTTTCTCTAGCTCCTCCCTAGTTGCAAATCTCTTATCTTGGCTGACTTCTTCGTGCTTTTCTTCTACTTTGGTTTTCTCTTCCACTTTGGGAGGAATTTTGATCTGCAAATACCATGTCTAGCTGAGGAGATCAGAGTTAAGTAGCAAACCTGAATAACAGGCTGTTTCTTCTTGATCGATGTCACGGCTTTAGAGGGATCCGTGACTGGCTTCACACCTGCAGCCTCATGAGAAGCATCCTTTGCTGTTGCTGGACCCAGAATCACTTCCTTTCGTCTTCTTTTCTTCTTTCTACCTTCTTCATTGTCCTGGAAGGCAATCGTTCATCAATACATGAATTTCTCGAGTCAAGTGAGTACCTCTTCTTCTGAAGATTCCAGCTCCGACTCGTCACTCGCGAGATCTAGAGGACGCTCCTGAGCACCAGCGGCGCACGGAAGCGGTGGCTTAGGGACCGCTGGACGGAATGGAGCCGGCAAGTTCATCTTATTCATCAGGTGTAGCACCTTCCTTCACGACACATGCAAAGACGTCATGGCCAAACCGAATCGAAGTTCAAAATAAAGAGAAGGAAAAACCACACACCTGTGTGTAAAAACTTGGAACAGCGATCAGAGCACTAGAAATGTTGCTTAAGATGTTGTCATCCGGTGGAGGATAAGCATATCTGAAACATATAAGAAAATAAAAAAAAGGAGTTAGATTGGGAAGAGATACACAGACGTACTCTAGGTGAGGTGGAAAAGGATAGTCGACGCCAAGAGATGGTGCAATTGGTTCACGCACGAATGAGCCGGTTACTGGATTTGCAGACGAATGCGATCGCGGAAGAAAGCTCTTATCGGGTGATTTTCGAAAAGCTTTGCTCGAAATCTTGGCGGCATCGTCTTCACCTGGAGCACGAGATTTCTCGGCCGTGAGAGTCTTGCCAAGAAAACGCACCCTGCACGAAACAATTATCTAAATGACCACGCACAAAAATTCTCAAGGAAAAGAATACCGATGGAGCTGCGATTGTGCTCTGGCTGCCGAGGCATCGTCAGGGAAATCGAGAAACGCGCAGTTCTTTAGCCTGTGAGCGTGTGAGATGGGCACTGAGCTCTTACTCAAGAGTATAGGGAGCTACATACCTCCCAGCTTGACAGAGTCGAAGATCCAGAGCTCCATAGTGCGTGAACAAGCTCTTGAGAGTCTGTGGAGGAAGCGCAGGGAGATGGCGCACCAAGAGCGTAGCAGACGCACCGCCATCGCCACCGCCACTGCTGGTACTGACGATTCCTTCCATAGAAGAGCCCTAAAATATTCTTACATTCCCGCCTAGATATCTATTAAGCTGTCCATTGGATCAATGTTTGGGTCGTTGTGATGTAAGTTTTCCAGGAGGATTTGGATCCTCGCTGCTATCTCGCTTGGAGAACCATGCTGCTATCTGGAGAAATGATCTTAGATCTAGCTTCTTTACTTCCAAGGTTTGTGGAAGTTCTAATCGTTGTGTGCTCCTCGAGAGGCTTGGAAAGAGAAGTTCTTACTCCTGTATTCGATCTTCTTATAAGCTCCTCGCCGTCCTCCAGCCATCGGTGGCGTGATGCATGTCTCGACCCCGAGCAAAGCCAGAGCTCCTTCGCTAGTCGAATTCGTAGCGAATAGATCCGAGGTTCGCATAACATCGAAGAATCCCCGGCAAGCGATGAAATCCTCGCAGCGGCTGTGGCATGCAAGCGACCTCGTTGCGCTGCGGCATTTTCGTAAAATAAAAAACTTGCCTCTTCAAGATACCCAAACCGCTCACCATTGTCTTCGAGAGAGAATCAATTTCTTCGTACAAGAATCTTAAGAGAATGTTCGAAAAGATCGAGAAGACCTTGATCGCCTGCCCAAGCAAGAACATAGTGCCAGGACTGTGAGCTCTTCGCTTCCCTGCGATTGCCATCCTCCCACGAGTTGATTTGAATGGATTCAGAGCAAATATAGCGAGCTTCGTTCCTGGGTTAGGGCCGGAAGGTTATAGAGAGGAAGAAGGTTAAGACATGGAGCAGTCGCACGAGCAACAGGTTGGCGATGACTTTGACTCAGAGGATGTGGGTTGCTTGGGTATACCTGAAACCCTTGAAGCCTGTGACTTTAGCTCAGAGGATGTGGATTGCCTGGAAGCCTTGGGCATGTTCGAGCCATATCCTGACCCTGGCAAGTACTCCAGGGAGACGAAGGCCGTGGTGTTGTTGCCACCATCGGGAAGATGAGCTCCAAGCTGCTTTACTGTTTGATGGCCTCCTCCCGCCATTCCTCGAGGACGACATTCTTCTCCGGCTGCCGCGTCATCGCTCATGAACGCCAGGATGGTGTCGAGGACCTGGAGTTCCAGGCTGAGCAGCCCAGATCTTTCTAGCCAGTCACCGCGACCATGTCACCACCACTGTGGCTTTTTGTCTTGGCGACCCCTCGAATGTAATATGGTGGCTCCGAACGCCCAGGTTGGCGATCACGCGCGAATCGTCGGCCGGGAAGACCAAGTTCTCGCTGCTCCCGCTCAAAGGCTGCATCCCGGCCACAATCTCGAGCGCTGTGATGCTCCTCCTCATCATGGGCCAATCTTGTTCTGCTTTTCCTACCCCAGCTACCTGGTTGGCAAGCCGCTCTCCCGAAGTCCATGCTCCCTACAAGAAGGGCACGATCGAGAGTGACAGAGACACAAGCTTAGTTTTGATGGCTGATCCATGCGCGCCTGGCCGCTTCAAGCTTGTCTTGTTTCGGTGGCGGTGGCCCTGGATCTACGATTCCGTAACCGACTCATGGACCGAGAGAAGCAGTTTCCACCTTGGGCACAGATACTCTTTTAATCCAGTGCGAGATTGTGCGTGGGAGAAAGGTTGCGGCGGTGTGTGGTATTTACTCGACCGGAGGATGTCGATGCGGGTGCTTTGCTACCGCCTGGTAGATGACTCGTGGTCCTGTTGGCGGCTTCACGGCGCCGAGTCTTCTTTAAAGACATTCAAGCCGGTGCCCTGCAGAGGGCGGCTGCTGATCGTGAACGACGCAAGCTGGGGTGGCTGGAACAGGAGGGACTGGCAGCTGGGATGGGGAAGTGTGTGTGGAGGTGTGGAAGATCAAACACAGACCTGGACGCGAACT